AGTTTGTCGCAGCAGTCAATTTTGAAGGCTTTATACGTTCAGAAACAAATCATCAGCTGGAGTAGGTTCAGGTGCCACAAACCACTTTTCCCTCTTCAGGAAATGTTGCAGAGTATTGCAGAGCAGCACGCTCGGCACGGCAAACTACACAACAAGCAGGGATTTCTCCGAACTGACAAAAACCGGGGCCCTTAGTAAACAAACAAATTTCAACACGAAAAGCCTCCATGGAACTTTTGAAAAAAACACAACATTGATTCCGACGATACGAGGTGGGGTTGCTTCGAGGCCTTTACCATAAACCCTGCACGACACCCTAAACCGAAACCATGCACCCGAAACTCCTAACCCTACACTCAAGGACTTTCAGGGCAATGCACGGCGTCGACCTAGGGTGTACCATAGTTACAGACCGAGCAAGCCTTAACCTTAAACCCCTAAACCCTAAACGACTTGTTTCCTAGAGATTATGGAATTAAACCCCCAAAGCCATGATATGGATGGTCTTTTGGGACCTAATTCCATAATGGCACTATATATGGAGCCTCTGGGTTTTGGGTTTTGTTGATTTGGGGCTTAGGAGACCTGTGGACTGCGGCAACATAGCCTTCATCATGGGGATCCTTTGCGGGCTAGGGGGCGGGGGTGTAATAAGGACCTAGTAAGGCCGTTTTAAGGAAGTTTTGTCCCCGACCCCCCTCACCCCGTACCCCCCGAAGGGTCCTTTAGACTAAAAAAAAGAACCAGCTAAACATGTGTGCTGACAGGCAACTTATAATGTAAGGGCCTTCATAATTAGAATAGGGTTCCTTTAAAAGGGTCTGTAACGAATACTACAAGGGATACCATGATAAGGGTACTGTAATATAAGGCGCCTCATATTTAGAAGAGTGTTTTGGGGCCCATAATACTATAGTTATAATAAAGAGCCCGGAAAATAGTATGGTAATTGTTCAGGCCTTTTGTTATTCCTGCATCGGGTAGTAGTCAACTATAATTTGTTTTGTTTATGTGATCAGCGGTTGTCTTCAAGAGATGTGGGTCTTTGGCCTTTGGTCCCTGTCACAAAAGACTCGGAGAACCCCAACTGACCGGAAACTGCACATGCAAAGGCTTGAAAAAGAGCCGGAGACGCGAGTGAAGGCTCCGAGTTCAGGGAGTCCCTCTTTCAGTTTCTGGGACTCCGGGTGTGCATCTCTTTCTTATCGTCTTTCTCTCCGGAAAACTTAAGCTTCGAGGTTTATGGACTGGGAGAAATGCCAAGTTGAGGCATATTGTAGAGTGTGACGGGGGCACACTGGCTGAAGGTGCAAGCGAATAACATGAGGCTCAGTCATGCTGCGCCTATGCCCTGCAAATTGAATTTGCCACGCCTCCCCTTTTCAAGCCGCCCTGCCCCTCTGAACGAAAAGCAATACTAGGCTTTAGGGTTTGAGAACCGTTTAGAACATAAACTGCTCAAGGGTGATACCCCTGTAAATCGGTAGGCTTCAACGTCAACTACTGACATTCCCTTGCTTGCCCCAGGTGCTGTCGTTGTTGCATCCTGTTCCCTAAGCCTAAGGCTCCATGTACCCATATAGTATATACTTGGGCCTTAAAAGTGCCTATATAGGGACCCTTTAAGTCCCTACCAGGACCCCCAACGGCCCTGTCATGGAGGTCTTATGGTCCTTAATAGTGGGTATTTAGGGTATGTTAGAGGGTAGTTGGGGGTCTAAGTAAGCCCCGACCCAAAAACCTGAATCTCAAAGGGTAAAAGGAGGGACTCCTGATAAGGAGCCCTAGGTATATACCCATAAGATAGCCCTAAACCCTACACCCTAGCCCATTACAGGGTAGGGGTCCCCCTTAAGGATCCCTCCTTTTCCCCTTTCAGAATCCAGCGAGACGGAGTCCCTCAACCCTAAATGCCTATAAACCCTACTTGGAGGATCATGGGACTTAGTAAGTAAGGTCATAAGTAACTCTATTGGGCTTATAATATAAGTAGTTATAAGTATAGTTGCCCTGATTATAAGTCCCATGATCCTTTAAGTACGGCTGCAGCCACAATCATGAACCATAAGCCCTTTTAACCTTGTAGGTCCCTTCACTACAACCCTGCTAGGAAAACTTTTAGGAAGCTTAAACCCTAAACCCCCAAAACCCTCAAAACCCTAAATCCCCCAAACCCTAAACCCGCAAAACCCTAAACCCCGAATCCTTAAACAAATCAGATTCCAAGCCGAGAAATGGTCTTCCAGTCCGCAATGTGATGGCCTTCATAGCAATAGGATTCAGTTCCACTTCTGAACTTCTCTGAACGATTGTATAGGGGTGATCTACTACAAGGGTTCAGTAGATGGGCTTGTCGAGTTCCGGTGTATATTCTACTATAAGTGACTACCCGGACCCTAAAAGTATGTAGAATAATGGCCTTTTAAAAGTTTTGGGCCATTATTTTACCTACTTTTTGGGGTCTAGGTAGTCAGCTTTTGTTGGGACTTTACATGGTATGCTGCTCCTGTGTGGCAAATTCTGTATTGACCACTTCCATGACATTGTTCCTGTCTCCTTCTGCGGTGAGCTTTGCTTCAATCTACTTGAACCCGCAAAATCCTCCTGTTCCTTGAGTTATAAGATATCATAAGCTCACAATAAGGAATCCTTAAAGGTAGATTTGGTTGGGGGGATAAGGGAGCTCTACTCATCGGCGGTACGTCTTGCTATGCCCGCAGCAGTCTCTTCCAACGCCACTCTGGGCTTCCCCGAATTTTGACCTTCCGCAACGTCTGCCGGGCTCCGCAAGCAACCGGGACTGGCCTGCCTGCTCGGCACGTTCAAGGATTGCGTACAATAGCCTCGTGCATGAATGCTTACCTTAGCCTACCAAAACCTACTTCTGTAGGTTCTTGTTATATACACAAACCTATATACCATATAATATGGAATTTATGGAGACCCTACACAAAAAAAATCGGTTCGGTGGGTTCAAGTAGGGACCTAGCATTAAGGAAACGTTGGCCTGGGTGGAGCCTGTGAGCTCACAGCGATCTTCTGGCGCTTAGGGTTTAAGGTTTTAGGGTTTTAGGGTTTTAGGGTTTAAGGTCTTAGGGGCCTAGGGTTTAGGGCTTTGGGTTTAGGGTTTAGGGCTTAGGGTTTAGGGTCTTAGGGGTCTGGGGTTTAGGGCATAGGGTTTAGGGTTTTCGGGTTTTAGGGGTTTAGGGATTATAGGGGTTAGGGTTTTAGGGCTTAGGGTGTAGGGTTTAGGGCTTAAGGTTTAGGGATTATAGGGCTTAGGGTCCTAGGGGCAGGCAGAAGAGAAAAGAGAAGACTGCTAAGACACTCATAAACCCATAGGCTCCATTGTAGTTCTTTTTTGGGCTGATATTCAGAATCCTATAAGGTAATCTCAAACAGGAACTCCTATGCAGCCTATGCATAAACCCTTAACCATGTGAGCCCTTCCCCTGTAGTACCTTGTGTCGGTTACCTTCCTCTCTTTGTCTATCGGAGCGTAACCCCGGACCCTAAACCCGAATCAGGGTGTAAGTAGACAAAATACGCCAAACAAAAACATGACCTGCAGTCTCAGTGTAAGCTCCGAGTGTAAGGTCCCGCAGGTTTAGGGTTTAGTGCTAGGATTGGGGCTGAGGGTTTATGGCTTCGGGTTCGGACTGGGTTCACCTTAAGGTTGATAACGGGGTAATGAGTGAAGGCATGTCTCATCCGGTTCCCGACGCCACTTGTTGTATAAAGCCGCCCATAAGCGAAGTATCACTTTAAGGCCCTAAGCCCTGGTTTTTGCACCCTAAACTAGGATGCCCAGTAACCTATGCTAGGAATTTTTTGGTATTGGGTAACTTTATAAAGAACCTAGGACTATAAAAAGGGAATCAGGGTACTACTGGGCATCCTAGTTCAGCTTACGTAAGCTGACGGAGAGCACACCCAACAAAGCACCCCAAACCCAAGCCCCTGAGACTCTAAACCCTAAAACTCCAAGTAAACTCTGAAGCCCTTAACACTCTCTTCTCCAATAACCAGGCCCAAACAAAGTTCAAACTTTTTAAGCTAGACCAAATATATGAAGCCAAAAAGTTTAAAGTTCTCCAATAGGCTAAGTAAGAACATCCCTAAACCGTAAACACCCAAAAGCCCTCAGCCCCGAAACCCTCAACCAAAAACCCTCAACCAAACCTGAGCATAAGGGCTTACGACTCGACGCTCCGGAGTCAGCCGGGCAACTGCGCGTTGGACTCTAGATTGTGCCTAAGATCTATGTTCATAAACCTGTATATGGCATACCCTTGAGGCATTATTTAGTCCCTATACAGGCACTTTAAGGCCCAAGTATCTACTATGTAGGTACATGGAGCCTCATGTTGTTGTGCGTTTTAAAGAATTATTGCTTCTCTTATTCTAGAATGCGAACCATAGAACCTTAGAATAAACTATCCAAGAGTAGGTGCTCCAGTTTGGGGTCCAGGTCCAGGTACTGCAGTGAGGTCAGGCATTGATTCCTACACTGTGTCCTGCTCTCTCTTGCATTGAGACGTTTACAGAGACAGGCAGGCAAAACCGTCCGGTACATGGACAACTGGACAAGCGATGCACCAGCTATAGCCATGTGCCCGGACCCCCAGGCATGGTTATCAAAAATGTGCACACGTGTGAATTCGGCTCAATAACAGAGCGTACCCCGAGCAATCCACTCCACGACTGCTGCACCAGTTCCACCTCTGGCCTAGGTCCTACACGTCTCGGTGGCCACATGTAGGGACTACACTAAGCCCCAAGTACATACCATGTAGGCACATCGATCCTTGGGGTTAAAGCAGTCTTATGAGCCTCTACGCATACTTCGAGCTTTCTGGGACTTAGTAAGTATGGCTATAAGTACCTTAACCGTTGCTATCCAGTAGTATAGCAAGTGTAGGTACATCATCTATAACCCTAATTACGTAGTTTCTAAGCGCCGTGATCCTGTAAGTATGTACCGTCCTCGGCTAAGCCTGTTAGTTTAGTTGTGCTGAACGCAGTCGCCGTGGGCCATCACCACGATGTTGACAGTTCCTGGGCAAGGACGGCCAAAAGACAGGAAGGGTGACAGCAACAAACTCATTAAGCTAACATACATAAACACACCCTAGGCCTAAACCCAAAACCTCAGGTAAACTAATAGGCATAGCAGGGTTTAGGAATCTGGGCGTCTTGAACTACCATAACTCGTAGGCGTTCGAAGGGGCATAGATTCTTGTGAAGTTTAGGAATCAGGCAGTATTGAGCAAAGCTAGGCGGTGTAGATGTGACTTTTCGAGGTCATGTGGGCTTCATAGTTTACTCAATGGTAGTATGAGACATGGCATCACCAGTGGATCCCTTAAACCTAGTTGATACGTGGAAGGGGTGAAGGAACTAGCAACTCCGCCACTCTGCTTCGAACAGTGTCCCAAAAATCTAAAAGATCCGGGGCACAAAGTGACAACAGGGTTTAGGGTTTAGGGGGATGCTGCGGCGTTTTGGCCTTCAGGGTGCAGGGGGTCTCGGGTTTCGTCTTTTGGGGGCGTCATGTCGCGACATAAGAGGAAGCAACAACCTCCGAGGAAGTCGTCGTTCTAGAAGCCCTAAGGGTCCATGTACCCACATAGTATATACATTGGCCTTAATGTAGTCCCTATATAGGTTCATTGGGCCCAAAAGTATATACTAATTGGATACATGGACCCTTAGGGAAGGCGGCTTGGGCAAAGGGATGCGACTCCTTCAGCTTCTGAAGCGAAGGGCCTGGTCTTGGGCGCTGTGTTTGTGAATGTGCTCATTCGCTTTGGCGCGAAGATCGCGATGGCTGTAGGTCGTCTGCTTTTTCCCCGACATCCACTGCAACCCGTGTGCGACTGCGTGGAATAAGCAAGAACCATCCTTCAACTGTCACACCGCACTGGCCGGGGACGGCGAAGTCTCCTTGTCGCTTGCATGGACAACCGGTGCCTGTTGCACTGTCACCGTGCTTTAATGGATTGCAAGACAGCTACATGTTAACTCCACGCCAGACCGCCTTTTGTCTGTGAACCGAAAACTGCAAGTGCTCACTCTCACCTGCTTGGAAGCGAGGAGCGAGTCGGTCGGCAGCACGCAGAATCTGAATTCCAGTAGCATTCCTCTCCGGCTAATGGGCTTCTTTTGATTAAAAGGTTTAGGTTTTAACTGCAAAACAGGCTATCCCCCATAAGGGCTACGCGGCTACACTCCAAGGAGTCTAGGGGCGGCATGACTGCTGGTGCAGCCCTCCGCCTCGAACCTTAAATCCTAAGCCCTCAACCCCTAAAACCTAAACCCTAAACCCTAAACCCCCCTAACCCTAAACCCTAAACCCTAAACCCCCCTAAACCCTAAACCCCTAAACCCTAAACCCTTAACCCCTAAAACCTAAAGCCCCTGCACCTCCCTGAAGCTGAACACGCCCATATGGGTAGTTCTGCGAATTAGGGTCTTCTTTGTAGGTCCCCAAATAGTACGGCGTCCTTATGAACAGAGGGCTCTAATTTAGAGATCTACCCATAATGGTATAAGTTAAACCTCAAAAGTGTTCCTAACCAGGTACTTGAAGGCCTAAGCATATACTTAATTGATACTTGGCTGACCTCTGAACCCCTCCTAACAGTTACACTTTTAGCCTCCTGATTATGGTGCATATAGAAACACAAAAAGTTAAAGTCCTAAGAGCCAACCAGAAGAACGGTAAGGATACATAGAGCCGTACAAAGGCCCTGGATCTCCAACCACCAATCGACGATAGCCAGAGCCGAAGGCCCGAGCCCCAAGCCAAGGAAACCCCGAATAAATCTAAGCATACACCAACTACCCAAAGGCCCGATACTGTTGATGATCTAAATCCTGCATTACCTTAAGGACCCTAAACTATGGGAATGACGGTATATTCCTTATTGTGGGTCATGCAGGATCTATATCATCAACCGTAGTAGTTTCTTCTTGGGATTACCTTATAGGATTCGAAATATAAAAGGAACTACTATGGGGCCTATGGGTAAGCCCCAAAAATCCACACGACAGACCCTATGTCTCAAGCCCAAAACCTGAAACCAACTTTACAACGAGGTTCGCTAACGCTGCATGCAAATCATCCAGCTTCGATTGCGTATCCTCCCGGAGAGTCGTCCTGTCCACAGGGTGCGAGTGCTGTCAGGCTTTCCGTAGGGTTCTTACATCTTTTGTAGTGTTGCAAGGTGTCACACTCGCGTAGGTTTGGGATGGAATAAAGGTTCAGAGTTGTTCTAGAATTTCGGGTCAGGGTGCAGATAGGACAAAAATTGGTAGAACTAGTTATGATGAAGGAAGCCTGGGGTATAGCATAAGTATCATAAGTAATTGATGATGGAGACCTCCACATGAAGCCTGCATCCCGAACCACTAAACCTAAACCCTAAGCCCTACATACTAAACCCTAGACCTAGACCCTAAGCTCTTGATCCTAAACCCCTAAACTCCCAAACCCTAAACCCGAAGGCAAAAACCCCTAAACCCTAAATCCTAAACCCTAAACCGAAATCGACGACCGCCAAGCCCACCGTTCTTCATAAGCCCGGAACCCTCAAAGACCCTGGCAACTCCTCGGTTGAGGCAGCAGGGAGGGTTTGGGGCTTCGGGGGGTTTAGGGTTTAGGGTTAGGGGGGTTTAGGGTTAGGGGGGTTTAGGGTTTAGGGCATGGCGCGTGGATTTTCCGGCTCCCACCGGAAGTGGGAATTAGTAGCAGCATGATTTCAGTTTTGTATGGCAATGAGTTCAGTGCGGTAAAGCCTCGGGTTGCCGGAAGCAAGCTTCCCACAACTTCTTCACATCATCTGGAGCCGGGCTTCTGCATTCTCGCAAACTTTCTTGCGTCTCTGGATTACACAGTAGCACCCTCGTCCGTCTCGCCTGCCGACACCACAAGAACCTCTAACTCTGTAGATCTATAGCCGAAAACCCGAAAAGTTTGATCTGCCGGGTCATGCATCTAAGCGTCCGTGTGCGCAGTAATTTTATTTTTAGTCTAGGTTGTTGTAACTGTAGCTGCAATACTCCGATGCCCAATACCCCGTAGTTGAGAAATCTATACCTTGACTCATGACAGTTCATAATAGCCAAAGTGTATCCCTGCATGGGGCTCTGTCTGAGTACCTGAGGGGCGTCTTCGCACTAAGTACCTCAACCCTATAGAGCCAACATTGGTACTTAAAGGATCATGGGACTTAGTAACTCAGTAACTAGGGTTATAATAAGCTCTACTTATAGCCACTTATAACCCCAATTAGGGTACTTATAACCCGAGTTACTAAGTCCCTTGATCCTTCAAGTAGGGCTTGGTACGGTTAATGATATGAATCCTGCATGACCAGGAATATACCATAAATCCCATAGTTTAGGGTCCTTAAGGCACTGCAGGATTTATATCATCACCCGTAGGGCTCCCCATTCTGATTTGGTCCCTAAACCCTAAACCCTAAACCCAAAACCTTAGAACGGTCGGCTCTTCTGTGTGTGCAAGGCAAGGTTCTGGAGCTTAGGGAGGGGCGGTTTCGGCTTAGGGCAGGAGGTCGAGCAGTGTAGAGGTTTACTTAAAGGGATATAGGGTTCCTTAAAGGGATGTATGGGGTTTAGGATTTAGGGCCTACTTAAAGGATCATGGGACTTAGTAACTATAGGGTTATAATTTAGGGTAACTATACTTGTAACTACTTATAACCCCAATTAAGGTACTTATAACCTTACTAAGTCCCATGATCCTCCAAGTAGGGGTTCAAGGGAAATCTGGGGGGGGGGGCTTTGGTGTTGGGATTCGCTCCAAATCCTGGACGCCAAAGCGCCCTCCACCCAAAGAAGCACCCTACCCTAAGGCTCCACGTGCCCATATAGTAGGTACTTATTAGGCCTTAAAGAGGTCCCTATAGAGGTACTTTAAGGCCTAAGTACCTACTATATGGGTACATGGAGCCTTTGGGCTACCGGGCTGAGTGCTTGAAGCTCAAGTGGTAAATAACACATGGGTTATAATACGGCACCTATTATTTAGGATACCCAAAAAGGGACCATCATTTTGACAACCTCCTACGTCAAATCACTACTGGGATAGCACAAGATCTACGTCGGAGAGCGTCATTTACCTTCGGGCGGACAGGCACGAGTCTTGCTTGTCGTGTATAACCCTTTTTGGGGTCAGACTGGCCTCAGATCTTGCAGATTCGCGCCAAGCTCTTCGCGCATCTCCTGAGCATGTATAAAGGGCTCTCGAGGGTTCTATACCCGGGCATGGCTTTTTGGAGGGGCGAGCTGCAGCACGGTTGCAGTAATTTTGTGGTGGTCGCAGCAGGACTTTGCAGGGCTCTTTCAGAGGGCTGAGAGGGCCAGAACAATTCGCATGCTGTAGTATTTCCTCATAGTCCCGATGCCCTGTCAGATGCACCCCTAAACCCTGTTCTAGTGTGGCCTTAATCGTCACAGACATCTGTCCCCGCCCCCCCCCCGGAAACCCTTTCCTCAAGCAAAGGTCCCAAAGTAAACGGCCACTCATGACTCGTGGGCACATGTTCATGCTTTTGCTAAAGAGCTTCAGCCCCAATGGCCTGACGATCAACAAATCATCGGGGCGGGGGGGGGGGGGGGGGGGGGGGTCGTTTTCATACGTATGACAAGGCTTCCTATCACCTTGTTGGGGGTTTCGTCAGGGTCTTTGTGAGGATTCTGGCACTTGGGTGAGGACTTCATGGCCCAGGGAGAGGGCGTGGATGAAATAGGGCCTCATGTTTGTGGTGGCTTCGGGCCTGCCGTAGACAAGCTCTTGCCAAGACAAAGCTGCAGTTTCGGAAAATCGGGGTGTGGAGGACGACCACCTGCAGGTTCATCATCGACGGCTTGCAGCTTCGGCTGCGTAATTCATGTCTCGAGCCTGCAGGAGGCGACAAGCCAGCCCGAATGCTGCTTGTCCACTTGGAGGATCATGGGACTTAGTAAGTAAGGTTATAAGTACCTTAATTGGGGTTATAAGTAGTTGTAAGTATAGTAACCCTAGATTAGAACCCTAGTTACTCAGTCCCATGATCCTTTGAGCATGCCGTAGATCCTGGGTGGACTGCGCAAGGCTCCGGACCTTTGTGCGAGCTTGGAGCCCTAAGGCTCCATGTGCCCATATAGTAGGTACTGAGGCCTTGAAGAGGGCCCTATATAGGTACTTTACGGCCAAAGTAACTGCTATATGGGTACATGGAGCCTGCATCCGGCTGGTGCGTTTAGAGCCCTCCTTCACCCTAATGGTCCGTGTACCCAAATAGTATATGCTTTGGCCTTAAAGTAGTCCTGATATATGTACATTGGGTACTATTTGAGAACACGGACCCTTAGGGTCATGCGGACTTCGAGTTGCAAGAGGCCGGAGTACTTGTCGTCTTGTGCCGCGAGCTGGCGTGCCGGGTGCTTTAGAGCAGCGATCAGCTGAGGCCTTCGGGTGTCGGTCTTAGGATCCATGTACCGGCATACCCCTTTGGATCCCTTTAAAGGAACCCCTATAGTTCCCTTTAAAGGAACCCCTACCTACACCCCCCAAAAGTAGGTATAATAGTGGCCCAAAACCTATTAAAGGCTACTATTCTATATAATTTCGGGGTGCAGGTAAGGTCCATGTACCCGAATAGGGTTCCTTGAAGAGTTCTTTTAAGGCTTATACTATAAGAGCTCGACAGGGATTGAGGGTTCAAGGGTCCATGTATCCAGATGGTATATACTTTGGGCCCAGTGTAGCTATGTAGGGAGTACATTAAGGCTAAAGTGTATTATACACACTATACTCTTTGGATACATGGACCTTAGGGCTACCAGCAGGGGGTCTGCAGTGTAAGTTTAAGTGGCTTAGTGCTTCACCCTCAGCTTTACCCTAAGAGTCCAAGTAATCCTTATTGATGGCTTTTGATACCCCAAAAGGCCCCAAAGTTCGACAGTAAGGAGTACGTAGACCCTTAGGGTTAGGGCTCAGGACAAACTCATTGCGCAACTGAACTTGAATAAGGGTAGTTATCAAAATTAGGGTCCCCTTTTGGGCACCCTAAATATTAGGTGCCGTAATATATTAGGGACCCAAAAAGGGACCATAATTTTGACAACCACCCATATAAGATCCAGTCTTGCAGCGGCCCGCTGGATTGCAGCTTTGGGGTTTGGCTTCAGGGGGCTTTAAGAACTAGAATAGGGTTTTGGCTCTGGGACCTGTTAAACTATACTTGAAAAGGGAGGAACCACCAAAATAGTATAGGCAGTGCGGCCCCTATATGTTGTTTAACATGGTGTGGTTGAAGCTTGCAGGATGTAGAAGTCGGCTGCTTACTTCGAACAGGGTCTCGGGTCCTCTTCTGCTGTACTTCTGTTTAGGAGCCCAAGGGATAGTGCGATGCAGTATTCCTAATCAGTCTTCCAAACTAGCAGAGGACTCCAGTTGCGGGACTAAGGTCATTTAGGGTGTTCATCAATAGTGTACGGCTGTTGGGGGTATGTTCTAGTGTGCATATTATCAGGGACCACTTCGGCCCCTGTATTATGCGCCCTCGATTTCGGGTTCCGGCAGCCCTCGATCTATAATACGCAACCACGACTGGAGCCTTTTATGGTATGGGTATTCTGAGGATATCGATTTCTGGCTTCTGGTCTAAGCTATGGTTGAGGGTGTGTTCGGGATTTTTGGCCACATAGCATCTCAACCATCATGGCTTCTACTGCCTACGCAAACTCCCAAACAATCATCTGCAACAGGGTGACGGCGACCATGTGCTGTAGAGCTTTGGTCGAGAGCAGCGTTGCTACTGCATCACTCTTCCTCGGATCATGACGGTTGCTGCGATTTACCCATAGGCCCCACAGTAGTTCCACTTTGTGTTCACATATGGTTTGGAGCCGAAGCTGCTGACCACAAAAGCCGACTTCATGTGTGTCGCGTTTCAACGGGAATCATGCTGCTGGCTCATCTTGCTTTCGGGTTTGAGGTTTCGGTCGAGGGTTTAGGATACATGGAAGAATATGCATAGTCAGGCGAGTGCATCTGCTCTTGAAGGTTCATGGAGCTGGAAGTACCGCTCAGCTGTATAATGAATATGGTTCTAAGACCCAGAGAGTCCATATACACCACCAATATGCAATTAGGTACCAAAAGACGATCCCTATTCTGGTTTTGGAAGCCTATTTCCATTACATGGACCCTCTGGGAGAGTAAGCAAATCAACAACGACCTGCTGACCATGTTCCCGGATCCCTTGAATAAGCCCTACAACCTAATCCTGCTACAGAAAGCCCCTAGGAGGCCTGTATTGAGCCCTTGTAAAGCTTGCACCCTCTGAAAGTTGAAGACATGACCGTTTAGGCTGTAGGGTTTAGGGTTTAGGGTGGTTTAGGGTTTAGGGTTTCGGGTCTACACCTCAGGGTTTTTCGACACAGGGCCTGGGCCTCGGGGTTGAAGTTGTAAGGGTCAAGGTTTGGGCTTAGGGGTTCGCTCTCCGGGACCTTACACGAAGCCCGTGGGCAGCGCTTTGATGCTATATGGGACTAAGTTTGACATATTTAATTAGAAGGATTGTGTATACAGGGGTCCCCGCAGACCTGAAATCAACAGATGTCCATGCCTGGACAGCCGTCTCCCTGATTCCTACATCCCCGAACCCTGCCGTTTTGAAAGACTCCCTTCTTAAAGGATCATGGGACTTAGTAACTAGGGTTATAACTTGGGTAACTGTACTTATAGCTACTTATAGCCCTAATTAAGGTACTTGTAGCCTTACTTACTAAGTCCCATGATCCTCCAAGTTCCTGGGCCCAATCTGGTAAGCCCCACACCTCAAATCGTAAAACCGCCACCCTGAGCCCTAAAGCTCCTGAAGCCCTAAACCACAATCCCAAACCATCGACACTAATGTAGGGGCCTTAGTAGTTCGAATAGGGTTATGGGGCCCATTCTACCATACTTATAATAAAGAACCCCCAAAATAGCATTGGTAAGAATTTAAAGCTATTCAGGCCCCTATATATAGAAATCCTAACCCTAAATCCCCGAAACCAAAGCCCGGTAGAGCAGAGCAGCTTGACTTCTCCGCGAATCTGGAGCAGGCCCTGATGGCTCCCAGGACCCCCCCAATGGCCCTTTCATGGTAAAAAGGGTAGTTGGGGGGTCTAGGTCTTTCCTTACCATCAGAAATCCTAGTAGGCAAGAAAACGCCAAAAGAGTGGTTGTCGCCTTCTAGCTGCATGCACGCTACCATTTCATGAACCTGTCTAAATCGAAATAATCGCTTTGCCCCAAGGCTCCATGTGTCCATATAGTATATACTTGGGCCTTAAAGTACCTATATAGGGACCCCTTTAAGGCTTAAGTATGTACTATAGAAGTTGACGGTATCTATACAGGCCGCACGCGTGAACCCTCTGAATGGGTGCAATTCCAAGCGTGGCACGGCCACGAATACCACAGAAAAATCGTGCGGGACTCTTTCTGGGAAGTTGCTCCTCATGTTCAGCTCATTTGGGACGATGGGGGCCTTGAGGGTAGATGACATGCAAAGAAAACTCCCGATCATTCAACATGCGTCAACCAAGGCCCCTTTTAGTCTAAGCTTGCAGTGTACCCTTACAGTACCAGTATATACAGTTCCATCCTGTAATGCTACTATCGTACCCTTAAAGGAACCCACCTGAACGAGTTCGGTCACGTGCAGGGTGCCACTGCCGTCGGCATCGATAGCCTGTTCGGACGTCCGCCGAATACCACGACGTACAATCGATAATTTAATGTGGAAGCAACAGCGCTTCAATGCAACACTTGCAAGTGTTCCTCATAGTGTACATCAGACGGGCAATCGGACTAAACTTCGGCTACTTCTTGCTACTCGGAAAGCTTCCAAAGCGGGCTTGCGTTTCTTCTGGCTAAAATGCATGTTTCAAATGTCGTATTTAGAGCGTCATGCCGAACTCGTCCGACTCCCATACCTTAAACTCCTAACAAGCCTCAACCCCTGAAATGCAATCCTCCGAGCCCCCACACGTAAGGGTGCTTACTTCACGGTTCAGCTACTTACGAGATGCGATGAATACCCTCCGGATCTACAGGCCCGAAAGCAGTACTTGTGGAATACACGCTTACTGGCAACTTATCCAGTACTTAAACCCTTCTTACTATAGGGGCCTGCGGAGTTAGAATACATAGCACCGGTTAAACATTTAGGTCCCTATAGTAGCTGATTTTATTCTTCAAGGGCCATACGGGGTATGGACACCGTAAAACCTTCTGATTCAGCCAAGACTTTCAACCTGGCATCCGATCCACCCCCAAAGCCCTAACAAGTACTATGCCTAAAAGCCTGAAAAGACAAGCTACAAGAGCCTAAAGCCCTGAACCCCGTGCCGTTCGGTTATTTTAGCTGCTATATAGGGCTTAGGGCTGAGATTTAGGCTTCAGGGTCCACTTTAGGGTTAACCCGCAACCACCAAACTCCGATAAGTAAACCCTAAACACCTTAACCTTACACCATGCATCGACTCTTGACCCTTCTCTTGACCCTTGTGCTGTATTAGCCTTCCTATCTCTGCTGGAACACCTCAATGTAATCCTATGTAGTACCCCTTGAAGGAGCTAACACAGGGGCCTTAATAACTACTTCTACTATATCATATTTATATTTATATTTATATAATATATATATATATATATATAATATATATATATATATATATTTTTTTTTTTTTGGGGGGGGGGGGGGGTGTTACTATAAGTACGGCACAATGTGCCACGAAACCCTGTTCGAATTATGAAGGCCCCTGCAGTGGGACCCGAACCTCAAAGAGGTTGGCTCGGTCTGGGGGCAGGTCGAGATCGTCCATGAGGCTCTGTACATGTCGGTCCTGCAGGTTTATGGGCTTAGCGTCGAGGCATTAGGGCTCATAAGGTTTATGGTTAGGGTTTTCTATGGTTTGGGCTTTAAAGTTGCTAAGAGTTTAACAGGTAAATGCCATGGCCTGCCGCTTAGGCAATCGACTGGTGTCGACGACAAGGCTATGCGCGAATTGCATGAGCACAGTCGGTTGCCGGGCCAACTTTCAAGCACCCTTTGTGGCCACCGTGGGCCTGTGCCAAAACCAGTAGCCTCGCATCTATTGCTGTTCCAGCAACAGTTGCCACGACGCGGAATCACGGCGTAGGCAACAGTCCCATAACCGAATCTCTCAAACCCGAATACACCCGAGACTCCCTTCTGCAGGTCTCTGATCCGAAAGATATCCAAGATTGCAGGTCTTTTCCTGAAGAGGTGCGGCAACTACAAGTAAAACTGCTTACTAATCCCTAAACCTAAACCTTATACACTAAAAAACATGAACGACCAAATACTTGTCATGTTCAGTGGGGCCACCTGAACCTTCAACTTTGTTAACCCTGTTCTACGCTAGAGCTGCTCTCCAGCTCTGCCCCCCCGGCCCTATTGAGGGCTCTGAGGGTTTAGCACTTCTTTTTTCGAGGCTTTTGGGGTTTAGCATGGACTTTGGTGAGTTTGAGTCTTATCTGCTTGAAGGCGTTTCTTGTTTAGGGGTTCGAGCTTTTCTAAGCCCTAAACCCTAAACCCTTGTTCAGGGGTTCGAGCTTTTGAGGCCCAGGGCCTGCCGATCGCGGTTTAGGGTTTTGGGTTTAGGGTTTAGGGTTTTGGGTTTTGGGTGTCAACAACTTACAACCTACGCGCGGAGAAATCTTGGCGGGTGCCCTTACCCCAATGGCCCCAAAGTACTGTAGTTCCTTTTTGGGGGTTCATATATAGAATCCAATAAGGTAATCCCAAAAAGGAACTACTATGGGGCCGATGGATACCTCTAGTTAGCGGAAAAACTACCTTGTTGGGGTTCTTTAAGATGGTTTCTTTATATAGCTCAGCTGTCGGGTAGCCACAGGTAATCCCTGGTTTCTCGTTGCTTTGCCAGCGGGCGTTGGGAGTCGAGAGTTGCCATTCAGGCGTTTTGGGTTGCCAGTTCGGGGCAGTTTGGGGCTCAGCAGCCAATGGACCTGGAAGCATCAGGGAAAGGCTAGTGAAATCGAGGCATGATAAAACCATGATCACCAGACAAGAGCTACCAGACAAAGTACCTGCATCTGTATGGCTGTCCTGAGTTCGCCTACCGAATGGCGACTACTTAGAGCATGAGGCCTCTTCAATCAGGCGATAGGCCTACAGTAAACCCCATAAAGTTGGAACCCAAATAGTGCTGGGATTCCCTATAAATTGCTCTTCAGGATCGAGGCTATTGGGTTTACAACTTTTGGGCTTCTACTGTAAACCCCTGAACCCCAAAACTTCGGTTTCAGAGCTCCTGGATGACCAGAAGGAAGAGCTCTTTGGTGATGGCCTTGGAGCTTGGGTTTAGGGTTTAGGGGTAGGGCTTGGAGCAGGTGTGGAGAGGATTTTCCAGATATCGCTGTATCGGGGGCTTTCCATACGACGGGAAGTAAGAGGCCATAATACGAGATGATCCCTAAACCCTGAACCGATCCCTACCTTGTGAACCCGAGTAGCGGACATGAAACACATAGACTGGAATAGCCAGAGGTGTTCTGAGGGCCTTGAGAACTACCACGATTATTCCTTGGGGCTCCCTATACGTTTAGTACATCAAGCCCCCATACTAGATCCGAGACCCTTCTTGTACCCCTTAACAAAATCCCCCTATACTAGACCCGAGGCCCTTCTTATGCTTGACAACATCCTTGAAGAACCATGTGCCCCCAAACCCTACGTTAATTGCTGAGGCTTGCCCCAAACCCAGACCCCAAAGGCTCACCTGCACATCCCAAATCTATTTTCTTAGCTTGGAGGATCATGGTGCTTAGTGAGTAAGGTTATAAGTACCATTTGGGGTTTTAGGTAATTAGACGTATAGCTACCTGTCTTATAACCCTATCTATAGTTACTAAGCCTCAGGATCCTTTTAACTCTGAGGACTCGTAGTTCGAGGCTGTGGGGCCCAAACACCATATGGGTGGTTGTCAAAATTAGGGTCCCTTCTTGGGCCCCTATTATAGTACGGCACCTAATATTTCAGGTACCCAAACAGGGACCCGAATTTTGACAACTACCCATATGAGTCTCTTGGGCTGTTTTGAGCCTTGGGGTTAGGGTTAAGGCCAAGGATTTAAACGGAGTATGATAAATCTTGCCAGTCGTGCGGCTGAATCCCAATTGGAAGTCAGCACACACCAGAACAAGCAGTGCATCTAGGATAATTTTGGACTGTCGCCCCTGACCCTCTGACCCTAAGCCCTGGAGTCTGAACTGAGTCTGAACCATGCTTACTCTCACTATGCATCAGTCCAGCTTGCTTCATGTATACGACTTTGAGTGATGCAAGTACTAGTAGTAGTAGTAGTAGTACTAGTAGTAGTAGTAGTAGTAGTAGTAGTAGTAGTAGTAGTAGTAGTAGTAGTAGTAGTAGTAGTAGTAGTAGTAGTAGTAGTAGTAGTAGCTAGTAGTAGTAGTTAGTAGTAGTAGTAGTAGTAGTAGTAGTAGTAGTAGTAGTAGTAGTAGTACTAGTAGTAGTAGTAGTAGTAGTAGTAGTAGTAGTAGTAGTAGTAGTAGTAGTAGTAGTAGTAGTACTAGTAGTAGTAGTTGTTAGTAGTAGTAGTAGTAGTAGTAGTAGTAGTAGTAGTAGTAGTAGTAGTAGTAGTAGTAGTAGTGGTAGTAGTAGTGGTAGTGGTAGTGGCAGTCGCAGTGGTAGTGGCAGTGGCAGTGGCAGTGGCAGTGGTAGTGGTAGTCGTAGTCGTAGTAGTAGTAGTAGTAGCAGTAGTAGCAGTAGTAGTAATTTAATTGTAATAGATCCAAGATTTTCGCATGCTTGCTCTTCAGAGATTTCTTCTGCATCCTCAGCACTCACTCCCAAAACAACAGCCTGACTTCGTCATGATCGATGGCCAGGTCAAAAGCTGTGTCGTCGTCGATGTTGCGGAGATCCCTCCGAGCTCCGGCGGCTAATAGCATCTGCACGACTTGAACCTGGGCTCTTTCTGAAGCGTTTCAGTCAAGTCATCAGAAGTAAGAAAGCAGGTTCGACTACTGTACATGGCATTGTTAAGTTTAAGGCAAGTTGAACCAATAGTTCGTGAACAAAGACTGGGAGCATGACCCTCGAACGACGCAAACATTAGCGCTGTCCAGTCTTCATGGTCACACAAGTCCATGTCGGCACCGGCTTTCAAGAGCAAATCCACGATTGCAGTGTGACCCCTACACGAAGCCACCATCAGGGCCGTGGTTTGGATACGGCTTCGCAGATTCACCTGAGCACCGGCCTCCAGCAGAGACTCTGCAACATCAACGTGGCCCTCCCCGGACGCCCTTTGCAGTGGCGTAAGCCCGCACTCATAATCCTCACCATCTGGGTCCACGGGCAGCTGCAGCTGTGCGTCAACCTTTCCGTTCCAACAAATCTCGGTTCCCTTGCTATGCAAGGCTTTGAAGTTATTATGGAGGTAGGCTTGGCGTTTGTTGCCGGGTTTAGGGTAGAGAAGCAAAAACATGCACGAGTTTGAAGATAGTGCATTTGTGAAACCGCCTGCCTCGGCCACTTGGCCGATCCGCGCTGCTTCGCATAGCTGTCGCCGCTGTTCCTGAGAAGCATCGCAGAACGAAACTATCAAGACTTGCAGATCCATGGCGGAATCCAGATTGAAGGCATCATCCAAACTCTCGCCGTCGTGGAAGAGTTTTTGTCTGAATCGTGGAGGTAGGGAGTACTGCTGATGCAATCGTCGCTTCAAGGCCTTCACATCGCTCAGCTCCGTGAGGGGAAGCCTGGTCAACCCAAACCCTCAACCCAAACGTTGGGCCCCAATAGAAATTTTGGGTTCAGGGCACATAAAGCAAAAATATGGATAGGGACATCCCATATAAACCCCCTTATATTAAAGCCCAAGAAGGTAGGGATCTCCCTATAAGATGCTTATGCTTATGTGCTTCTTTGGGTCCCTAAACTTTGGGCCCTGAGCCCTGAACCCCTACTTAAAGGATCATGGGACTTAGTAACTAGGGTTATAATTAGGGTAGGTATAACTACTTATAAGCCCAATTATGGGACTTATAACCTTACTTACTAAGCCCCATGATCCTCCAAGTGCACTTGTACAACCTTACCCCTAAACCCTACTGTACGGGCCTTAATAATTAGGGGCCATAATAATTGGCACAAGGTTCTTTGTAAGGGCTCTTTTAAAGGACTCTGTATAAAGGTTACTCAGGATGTAATATGGGGGCCTGTATAATTAGACTAGGGGTTTGCGGTATATTATACTATAATTATAATAAGGAACCCCCAAGATAGTATTGAGACCCCAATATATAAAACTCCAGTAACCCCTTGCCTGGTCAGTTCTTCCCCTGAGAGCAAGGTGATGCGCAGCATGGCCCAGGCAGAAAAACGTACAAATTAGGGTTTAGGGTTTAGGGCTTGGGTCAATCGGTCCATTGTGCATTTCGGGGCCGAGGTTTTAGAGTTTTGATGTAAGGTTCGAACTTTAAGATTTTTTAGGGCTTAGGGTTGAGAGAAGGCCAGGAAGATGTTCATGTGATGGGCGCATCGGTGAACCCTTAGGGCTGGTGCTACAGAATGCCAAGTGCCTCAGGGGGGGGTGGGAAACTTACATAAAGTACGTTTAGATTCGGATTTTGGGTTGGATTTAAGGTTTAGGGCTGCAGTAAGTATAGAAACCCAGGTGTGTATGAGCCGAAACACCTTGCGAAGTAGAAGACCTCGGGAGACTGCTTGCATGGGTAGGACTGAGACACAATGACACAGATCTAGAACGCCCAGTAGCCTAGGAATGGAAAGGCCTCCCTTTTTGGTAGTGTGGGTAACTTTATAAGGAACCTAGGACTACAAAAAGGGAAGAAGAGTACTACTGGGCACTCGGAAGAGAGAAACTGAGGGCCGAATCCTAATCCCTTTTCCCGCATCGACAGAGGATCAGCTGCGAGTTATAAGCCTTGGGTTGTGCTGTTTACCTAGGATGCGCATCATACCCTACTCTGCTTGGTAGAGTACCTACTTTACGAACAGCAGAAATCCAAACAACCTCGCAACGATCCTCGAGTTTATTCGGCAAACCAATCACAATACAATAAGACAGAAGTATGCTAGCACCACCACCACCACCACCACCACCAACGACAACAACAACAGTCGACACCAGAGAACACAAGAGTGTGTACAGAAGTACGCCCGACAGAGAAGCTTTCGTAGAAAGACCATCACTTACTTACTGACGTGTGTATGCAAAAGTGTGTATGATGTATGCATGCATGCATGCATGCATGCATGTGTATGTATGTAATTATATACATGCAGACATACATGCCGGCATACATATACACTCATGTGTGTATATCTATCTATCTATCTATCTGTCTATCTATCTATCTGTCTACAGATTACACATATATAATCTCTGTGTGTGTACGTGTGTATGTATGTATGTATGTATGTATGTGTGTATGTATGTATGTATAATATATGTATATGTATATGTATATGTATGTATATGTATATGTATATGCATATGCATATGTATATGCATATGTATATGTATGTGTATGTGTATGTGTATTCGTATGCATATATGCATATGCATACGCATATGTAAATGTATATGTATATGCACATGTATATGTGTACCATCACATGTGTGCATATGTGTGTGCACATATGTGCAACAAGTATAGGTAGATCGACAGGCAGACAGATACATAGAATGAAAGGTTGGTCAGATCGACAGATGCCACCCCACACACACAGACAAACAAACAGACAGGCAGGCAAGCAGGCAGGCAGGCAGGCAGACAGACACACACACACACACAGAGACACACAGACACACAGAGAGACACACACAGATAGACAGATGCAAATCTAGGTAGATGGATAGACAGATAGACGGAAAAGTAGATCGATGGGTAGGTCGTTAGGATATGAGCCATTGCGGCATTAGCACTGCAAGCCATCACAGCTTTGCTCTCTCAGCGCAGTATTCAACCCTAAGGGTCCATGTACCGAAATAGTATATACTTTGGCCCATATAGGGACTACCCTTAATGGGGACCCCTACCCTATAATGGGCTATATAATGGGTATATAATAGCTACATTAAGGGTATATACCTACATTAAGGCCAATGTATATACTATTTCGGTACATGGACCCTTAGGGCAAGATGCGCGGACAGTGTCAGATTCCAGCTTCTCAGAGCAGTCTCACAGGTTCGAACTCGCGGGTCACTTGGAGGGTCATGGGTAGTTACAAGTGGAGTTGTAAGTCCCCGAATATGGGTTACAAGTATAGTTAGCCTACTTATAACTCCACTTATAGCTACCCATGACCCTCCAAGTGTGACCAGACGTCAAGGTTTGCCCAGAGAGCCCAATACCCCTTAATTCAGGAGTGTAGCTTAAATCATAATCTGAACGCCCCTTATTATTTAAGGCATATTCCTCAATCAAGGGGTATTGGCCTCTCTGGGGGAGTGTTCAGGATTCGAGGTTAGTTGCGGCTTCGAGGGAAAGTCTGCAGAGTTTCCCCGGTACCTCTGGGCGCCTGGCGATCTGGGCGTGGATGTCGTTGTCCGTGAATTGTATGGATCCCGTGTTGAAATCGAGCTGCGACATCTTGTTCTCAGTTGCATTGGCAGATGTTCGGGGACGGGTGTATTACTGTTGATGATATAACTCCTGCATTACCTTAAGGGCCCAAGATATGGGAATGACGGTATATTCCTGATTTTGGGTAATGCAGGATTTATATCCTCAACTGTAGGGCTCAAACTTGGTGGCAGGATTAAGCTTTGGGTGTCGCACAGCCCTGAAACAGGATTCCCATCTGGAGCTGGCATCCCAAGAAAGTTGCATCCCAAGAAAGTTGATGCAGGGCCCTCGTCGTTGTAGACAAGCCAAGACGATTGAAGCCAACTGTCCAGGACTGCGAACAATCGAAAGCCCCTGGTCAAAGAGGCAAATACTTCGGGACAGTTGCACTGGAAGCCTATGCGGCGCCTACTTCCAAATTCTTGAGGTACATAAATACCATATCAGTGTTTCAACGTGCCAGCGCCGAATCTAATGCATGAAGCTATGCCAGCTATGCAGGCACTGCTACATTCCCCGATAAGATGGAGAGGTAGCTACACCGCATCAACTCCGACCCCGGAACCCCTGTGATAGCCTGCCTCCCAAATGCAAAATTGATATTGTGAGATCCGAAAAATCTTTTGGTCGGCTTTGCATCAGGACCCGACTATATCCGACTGTTGCTCGGGCTAACTAACGTTAGGGCCATTTTTTGGTCTCAAACTTTTCTGCACCTCCCTTATATCTAGAACTAGCGGAGAGAAACAAGGCTGACCCCTTGAGGGGTAACAGTCCGATAACATTCCATGCATGAGGGTTTGGGGTTTAGGGTCTACCCTGAAGCATCTCTACATTCGGGCTGCGAATCAAGTCTCACACTCCCGGCTTCTACTCACTTACCTGCCGGTCCGAGTTCTGAGAGTACTATAGCGGCCTTATAAAAAATAGAACAGGGTTTGGGGGCCCATTATACTATACTTATACTTATAATAAGGAACCCCCAAAAAAAGTAATGTAGGGGTAATTTTCGTTAGGCCCCTATAGCCCCAAGGCTCCATGTGCCCATATAGTATATACTTAGGCCTTAAAGTACCTATATAGGGACCGCTTTAGGGCTTAACTATCTACTATAGGAGTACATGGAGCCTTTGGGTAGTAGCTGCCAGCTCTTTCGATGCCAAAAAGGGGCTTCGAAGATCCTGATGAGGTTCAGGCACAACGGAGCACCAGGATTAAATTCGGGGTTTAATGCTACATCGGTTTAGGGTTTATAGGGTTTATAGGGTTTATAGGGTTTATACGGTTTAGGGTTCCCGAAGCCCTGCAAACTGAAACACATCAACGAAGACTCTATGTTGTGCAGGACCCACCTTGAAGAGGCTCCCCTTTTGGTAATTAAGGGCCTAAGTATCCCTAAGGCTCCATGTGCCCATGTAGTAGATACTTAGGCCTTAAAGTACCTATATAGGGACCCCTTTAAGGCTTAAGTATCTACTATAAGGGTACATGGAGCCTTTGGGTATGTACTATCTGGAGCTGCGTGGCGGACTCTTCCGCGTCTTGGTAGAGGCGGTAAGCGGCAGCGAACTTTTTCAGCAACTCGCCTGTTAAGGGGAAGAGCAGGATTCAAGGGAGTATGCTTCGGCTTTGAAAGCTCTTCTAACCCCTGAGCTCCAAAACGCGTCCTAGTTGCTGCATAAGAACCCTCTTGAGGCCAAAGCATATAAAGATACTCGGGCGAGTCCTCCAAGACACCGCCAAAGAAACATGAAGGATCACATGCATCAAGATACTGGAGAGCTTTGAATGAAGACGGATGAGTGCCTGCTATCAGGCTCCTCGAAGGAAGGATAGGTTTCTCCAAAGTGAAGCCTAAACGTTCAATCGTGCCCATAAAGATTGGAATATCTGGCTATGCAGTCCCTCACAAGCACATGAGCTCAAGGTTTACTCGAAAAAACTGCGACTTCCTTGTACAAGTCCTGAAGGATGTAGGTTGTATTACTAGAAATTTATTACTATTATGGTTACTATTATTAGTATTATTGCTATTAGTATTATTTGGGGTCCAGGTAGGGTCTGAAGCCGTGTGAATCACTAAGGCAACTGCGGGTCTACCAGGACCCTCCAAGTGTCCCTTAATAGAGCCCTCATGGTCCTTGACTGTGGGTCTTTAGGCTAGATTGCAGTGTGGTCCTCAATAGAGCCCTTATGGTCCATAATTGTGGGTCTTTGGGCTATACGGAAGTGTGGTCCTTAATAGAGCCCTTTTTGTCCGTAACAGCGGGCATTTAAGCTGTATTAAAGGGTAGCTGGGGGGTCTGGATGGGACTAGAAGCATTCGTGGAAGCACGATCGTGAAGGCGAGTGGCGCGTGGTTCGCGCAATCCGGATCGACTCCCGTGCATGCCTTAAGGTGCAGCATCAAAACAGATTGGGATATGGACTTCGGGGACTTGCGGGATGTGGGCTTAAGGTTTCGGGATTGGGTTCGAGGATCCATGGCCTTTGGTTGCGAGGGCTTGAGGCCGAAATAGAAAGATCTACTCTGCGCAAGCGAATTGTAGTTCCTTCTTTATAGCCGACTAGGGATGTGAGATCCTGACACATTTGTGTGTGAGCGACGATGAGGGACCGTCATGACAGTGCGTGAGGGCAGGAGGAGGAGGGCGAGCGGAGGATGAGGGCGGGAGGAGGAGGAGCAGGAGGATGAGGAGGCGGGACAGCCCCAAAAAGTAAGAACCCCACACAGTGATGTGGGGAAAAACTCTAGAGGGCTCCCTTAGAGGGCTCGGGACAATATCAGTGTTGGAGTGCTCGACGAATCTTGAAGATCGTTGGGGGCGTCTTGTACGCTCAATCCGAAATCCGGAGCGACAAGCCAGAATCTCTCCTTCACTCAGCCGCGGACTGTTCTGCAGTGACGGCTTCCGTCTCCTGTGCAGGTACTTAAAGGATCATGGGACTTAGTAACTAGGGTTCTTATTAGGGTAACTATACTTATAACTACTTATAACCCCAGTTAAGGTACTTATAACCTTACTTACTAAGTCCCATGATCCTCCAAACAGGCAAGTACGCAGGCTGAGGGTTCACACATCTGGGGTCGAAGGCTCACGGGACTACCTATACTCTCCATTGTAGTTCCTCTTCTTGGTTAACCAGTTCTATCGTTAGGATCCTATAGTAGAGATTTTGGTTAACCCACAAAAGGAACGGACTACTATAGGGGCCTTAATAATTTAGAATAGGGTTTTGGGCTCCTTGATACTATAGTTATAATAAGGAACCCCCAACATAGTATTGGTAATTATCTCGGCCCCTGATTAGTTTGCAAGACATGTTTCTGCCCGGCTTCCCGAAACGAGCCCAGACCCGAAACGACTCAACCTGCCAAACATCAAACCTATGAGCCAGTGACTTAAACAACTGTAACCTGGTGTTTCGTGGCGTCCTGACCCTGACATGAGTCTTAGAAATGATAGGGACCTGGAGCAGTAGATTATGCTAGCTTCCTAGGTTGGCCCTTTAAAGCCTCTGACAAATATTCGTAAATAGAGTCCTATTAAGCCCAACAAGGGAAAATACAAAATGTCCCAAACTACCTGGCTCCAGTGTAGGTTCAGGCAGAGCAGAGCTCAACCCTGCTTTCAGGGCTCAGGGCTGAGCCTTTATCCTCTAGGGTGAGGGCTTGGTCTATGAGTTTTGGCTTGGGGTTTGGGGCTCTCCGGCTTAAGGGCTTAGCATCTAAGGTTACAGTTTTGTCGGTCTCTCACTTCTGGCTTGGAGGCTTATGGCTTAGGATATAGGGGTTGGGGTGGGGGATGGGGCGCTCCTTTGCCGCCTTCATCGTGATGTCAACATAGACCTGTCAGATCGAGTTTGAATGGCCTAGTTCCTGCAGTGACTGAAACATACTGCGAACATCAAAATTCCGATGGCCAAGACCAAACCCTAAAGCCGTAGGTTTTAGATACTATCAGGTGCCCTAAGTCCTCAGACTTGAAGCGAACTCTTGAACTATGTAACCACATGTATGCCAATTGCGAGCCAAAATGCTGCCAGAATAACGTTGAAGATACCTCGGGTGCTGGCAGTTCGGTTAGGGTAGGGCTTGGAGTGCAGCGCTTACCAGCCTCAAGCCTCAGCCCCTCCACGCTGCAACTGCATCTAAATGGATCCTCTTGACGTGTAGCCCCGGACCCTGGCATGCTTCGACATGGGGGCACGGAAGTCCGTAGCTCAAGCGCAAGCGCGAAAGCACTTAAACTTCCAACCACCTACTTTGTTTATGGACACATAACGGGGGTTTCTCAAAGTCCTAAAAGTTGCAAAAAACGAGTCTGGCATGTCCAAAAAATGTATAGACTGCGCTGCCCAGCAACAGCAGCATGTGGGCATGTAGGCTTCAAGCTGCAATCCCCGCACCAATGAAACACCAACCTGAAACCTACGTAATGGATCATGGGACATATAGTATACAGGCTTATAATTAAGGTAACTGTACTTATACCTACTTATAACCCCCCAATTGTGGGACGTATAACCTCACTTACTAAGTCCCATGATCCTCCAATTACTGGGCAACACCCAAAACCTTCGACCCAGAGTCACAAACCTCAAATCCTTCACCCTAAATCTGAGCCATTTACAGGTGGGTAGTTATAAGGTGGGTAGTTTCCCATAAACCTTCCATACCACTCCTATAAGGTAAAGGGGGCCTTATGGGAGTACTATGGAAGAGGAACTACTCACCTGTAAGGGGCTTCTACTAAACCCTGAATGCCAAGGCAAACACAACCCTTGAACCCTCGAAGTCGCCTTCCCACAGGCCCTACGGTTGATGATATACATCCTGCATTACCTTGGGGAACCTAAACTCTGGGAATTATGCTGTATTCCTTATTCTGGGTGATGCAGGATGAATATCATCGACCGTAGTGCTACAGCCGAAGAGTCCAAACACACACACACACACACACACACACACACACACATGTATGTGACTCAAACCGTAACCTCCAAACCCTAAACCCTAAACCTCTAAATCCTAAACCCCTAACCTCCTAAACCCTAAACCCTAAAACCCTAAACCCTAAACCCTAAAACCCTAAACCCAAACCCCTAAAACCCTAAACCCTAAACCCTAACCCCTAAAACCCTAACCCCTAAAACCCTAAACCCTAAACCCCTAAAACCCTATAGTAAGCGCCATAAAGTGGGAAACCGGATCAAGGCCAAATAGTGCTGGGATTCCCTGTAAATTGCTCTCTAGGACTGAAGCTATGGGGTTTCCAACTTTTGGGCTTCTGCTGTAAACCCCTAAACCCCTCAAACCCTATACACCCCTAAACCGTAAACCCTAAAACCCTAAAACCCTACACCCCTAAACCCTAAAACCCTAAAACCCTAAAACCCTACACCCCTAAACCCTAAAATTTAAAAACCCTAAACCCTAAAACCCTAAAACCCTAAAACCCTACACCCCTAAACCCTAAAATTTAAAAACCCTAAACCCTAAAACCCTAAAACCCTAAAACCCCTAAACCCCTAATAAAATCCTGAGCCAAAGATCTGACCCGGAAGAAGGCCGGAGCTTCCGATCCCCGCAGATTAGGGTATCGCCGGTTCCCTTAAAGGGATCCCTAGGGATCCCTAGGGGTTCCCTTAAAGGGATCCCTAGGGGCTCCTTTAAAGGGATCCCTAAGTAAGGGGGGTTCCCTTAAAGGGGGATCTTTAGGGGTTCCTTTAAAGGGATCCATCAGTAAGGGGGGTTCCCTTAAAGGGGGATCTTTAGGGGCTCCTTTAAAGGGATCCATAAGTAAGGGTTCTATCAGGGATCTATAGGGGCTCCTTTGAAGGGATCCATAAGTAAGGGTTCAATCAGGGATCTATAGGGTGTAGGGGTTTCAGGGCGCTCGGCTTTGATTTCGGGTTTCGAGCAAAGTGTGAGAGGCGGCTGGCTTCTGAACCCCTTCTACGGTTCTACACTCAGAGAACAGCAAAGTGGAGTTTCAGTGTTCTTGGACTCGACCTGCACCCTACACAACCTAAGTTTGTTTTTCAGGTATGCCCTCGGCTTGTATGGGTCATACATTAAACGGGCAGGTGTAAAAGCTAGAGGGTAGGCTGAGTTATTCATACTGGAGGGATTACCGGGAATCCAGGCTGCTGAGGACAAAGCCCTGCCTGCGTCGCCACCGTCCAAGAGCGTCACAAGCAATACTGATTCAATACTAAACCCAAACTCGATCTTGAATCCGACCAATTTCTAAGCCTTAACCTGGCCTGGTAACCTTGAACTCTGAACTAAACCCTAGCTAAACCCCAACTAAACCCTAACTGAACCCTACGCCCTACGAAAAAGAAGGCCGACACGAGGCGACGGACAGCCCTCAAATCCGTGCAGCCCGGTGGCCCATGGAGACCAACATGTAGCTCCTCAGGCTTCAGGAGGCTACTTGGAGATTCAGGGGTAGTTATAAGTGGGGTTATAAGTAGGGCAAGCTATAATGATGACCCATATTACGGGACATATAACTCCAGCTATAACTACCGATGAACCTTCAAGGTTTATGGAGTATAGGGTTTAGGGTTGCGGGTTTAGGGGTTTAAGGCTTAGGGGTTCAAGGTTTAGGGGTTTACGGTGTAGGGTTTAGGGTCCAGGAGTTTAAGGTTTGGGGGTTCAGGGCTGACGGTTTAGCGGCGATAAGGATGATCTTAGGGTTTACCACTTATGGTTCAGGGTATGACCCCATGTTATGAATTTTGTCAATATTGCCAAAACAGAGGTCTATGGTGTAGTTGAGTGGGAACTCTCAAAACTTCCGTAGAGCATCACTAGGAAACCGGAAACCCTGCCCTTCCAACTTACCCTACCTAAACCCGAAGCTCTCAGCCCTAAAGCCTCGTATTCAAATCCCCCAAACAGAAACATTCCTAGCTTCCTGTGTTCCAAACCCCAAAGCCTGAACCCTCTAAACTCCCTCCATTTCCTAAAACTTGTTAAACACTACAGTCCCTAAACCCTAAGACCTAAACTCCCTAAACTCCCAAACCCTGAAACCTTTTAACTCCCTAAACCAGCCAAAAATTTACTAACCAATGGTTTTGGGGTTCCCTTGGCTCTTTAGCTCCTTATTAAGTAGGGATTATCATCACCCCTGGCTCCTTAGCTCCTCCAATATCAATGGTTAGTTTAGTTTTAAAGAAGGCTCACTCACTGAACCTTAAACGCCCCCCCGAACCGAGCGGCGCGGCCTCAGAAACTCCCTCAGCCCTCAACCCCCTAAACTCCAAACCACGAAGCCAAAACCAGTACACCCTAAACCCTAGCCCTAAACCTAAACCCCCTAAATTCCATGAATTCCCTAAACTCCCTAAACTCCAAACACCAGTAAACTCCTTGAACCCTAAAACCTACACTCCCTAAACCCCTCCAGAAATCTCACCGAGCCGAGTGGCACGACGTACCCCATCACAAAGGGAAAGCCGTAAGTTTCAGCCATCAGAGTCGGGATCGGCCTTCCTGGAAAGAAAGGGAACGATGGAGTTTAGGGTTTAGGGAGTTTAGGGAATCGGGTTCAGGGAGTTTAGAGTTTCAGGGAGTTCAGGGTTTCCTTATAAGAGAAAACGGTTCCTGCCATAAGGGTGGTTGTCTGGAGAGAAAGCGCGTTCCGGGATTCAGGGCTCAGGGAATTTAGCGAGTTTAGGCTTAGGGAGTTCGGATTAGGAAGTTTAGGGCATCTTTCGATTTAGCGGCTTATAAACTGTTCAAAAGAAAGTGGGTCTTGCCGTAAGGGTGGTCGTCTGGCTTTCTAGGGGTGAGCAGGTTTCTTCCGGATTTTATGGGTCTTGAGGGTCAGGGTTTTAGGACTTACATACCCTTAACCCTAAACCCTAAACCCTTAACCCTTAACCCTAAACCCTTAACCCTAAACCCTAAACCGTGGGCGCCTCATCCTCAGGGCTTAGCGGCTCAGAACCTAGCTATATACACCCGGAACATGGTAGATTGCTGCCACCCCTACTTGAAGGATCATGGGACTTAGTAGCTAGGGTTACAATTAGGGTAACTATACTTATAACTACTTATAACCCTACTTAAAGTACTTATAACCTCACTAGGTCCCATGATCCTCCAAGTAGGAGACCTGCACCGCAAGGGTTTGCAAAGATCTAGCCGCTGGGGAAATTCGGAAATACTGTCGAAAGTCGAGTCTGGAATATCAGGTTTCGGAAACGGGTTGGGGGAGTGGCTTGGGCTTAAGGGGTCTCAGGATTTCGGGCTTGCAAGCTTCAGGACCCTACTAGAAAGCCGTTTGGGCTTCGTCAGACCCTGAACCGTGAAGCCTAAAGGGAACTCCAGAAAGTTGGAATATGGATTAATGGTAGGATCCCCTATAATTTACCTTAAAGGGGTTACGATAATGATATTCCAACTTTCTGGCTTCTACTGTAATCCCTGCAGCTACCACTTCAGAGCCGAGGGCTCGGGACCAAACCGCAGTCTGCAACAGCAAGACTGTACTTAAAGGATCATGGGACTTAGTAAGTAAGGATATAAGTCCCATAATTGGGGGGTTATAAGTAGTTATAAGTATAGTTACCCTACTTATAACCCTGGTTACCAAGTCCATTGATCCTTAGTCTAGGGCTTAACTAGTGTTGAGGTATAAAATGAACGCTCCTAAACACGACAGAGGCTGACTTCGACTTCGGACCCTCGAAAGAGCCCCAAAACACTTGCCCAGCGCGGTCTTCGAGAGCACACGTGACCATCCATGTCAATGAATAGTTCGGGCATGCATGTTGGGTGCTTACGGCGACCTGGGTCTAGCTGCTTCTGATGTTGAGGTTTAGGCATTCTTAGGTAATCGTAAACTGTGCCAAGCGCCTGTCGAGCTAGTTCAATAATGATCCCAGACCAGATCTAGAACCCAAAGCCCCGAAGGGGAGGGTAGGGAAGGGTAGAGTGGGGTAGGGTAGGGCAGTAGGGCAGGGTAGTAGGGTAGGGTAGAGTGGGGTAGGGTAGGGTAGGGTAGAGTGGGGTAGGGTCGGGTAGTAGGGCAGGGTAGTGTAGGGTAGTAGGGTAGGGTAGGGTAGTAGGGTAGAGTGGGGTAGGATAGGGTAGGGTAGTAGGGTAGGGTAGGGTAGTAGGGTAGAGTGGGGTAGGATAGGGTAGTAGGGTAGGGTAGGGTAGTAGGGTAGGGTAGGGTAGTAGGGTAGGGTAGGGTAGTGGGGTAGAGTGGGGTAGGATAGGGTAGTAGGGTAGGGTAGTAGGGTCTACAACCGAAGAGTCGGCTCCTGAACGATCAATGCACTCGCCGGCAAAGCACAGAAAGGCCGTAAACATGGACCTGGGTTCGTGGCTTCAGTGCGAAGGATACAATCCAGCTTGGGCTCTCGTCCTTGCCGACTTCTGTGTAAAGAATCACGGGACTTAGTAAGTAAGGTTATAAGTACCTTAATTGGGGTTATACGTCGTTATAAGCATAGTTACCCTAAGTATAACCCTAGTTACCAAGCCCCATGATCCTTTAAGTAGCTTCTGTTTGTAGCCTTGCAGACTAAGAGTTCTCCCCAGCCCTTCTGATCGAGAGCCATTCTAGGGTTTAGAGTTTAGGGGTTTAGGGGTTGAAGTTTTAGGGCAGCTACTGACCTTTGTGTTGTTGAGTTGCTACCACTGTCAGCAGCGCAAGCAACTTGATCGGCATGGGTGTGATAGCCGGCAGACATTCAACGGTCGGGTACCCTGAACCCGTTAGCCCGAAAGTTTATCTTACTGAGGACAAGCAAAAACTACTCCATCGCTCTGGACATGGGCCATGTGTCTCCGAATGCAGGAGGTACGATTACAAACCCTGGTTTTGAACATAGAGACGGCTTGGTAAACTGAATAACTGCAGAAACTGTTCCTTCGGGCTCCTCATACTTCCCTACACTATTATGTCTATATTCATGGTGCTTGGGGCTTGGCGCCCGGCGTTTTTGCCGATTGTTGGAGCTTGAGGATGTTAGGGTTTAGGGAGGGCCAAGCCCGCAACTCCCACAATCACAGCGCTGCCAGAACACGCCGGCACAGTCTCAAAATGAATCATCAAGCCTCGGATAGCACAGAGGACTTAGCAATATCGTCGTTGAACTCGCAGCATACTGCTGGCAAAAGTCGCTGTCGTCAGAAGTAGTAGCAGTAGTAATAGTAGTCGTCGTCGTCGTAATCGCAGTGGTAGTGATCGGTTGTGGTAGTTCTAGCTGTAGTGGTAGTTGTAGTTTTAGTTGCATTGTAGTTCCAGTTGTAGTTCTAGTAGTAGTAGTACTTGTTGTTGTTGTTGTGGTGCTGGTGGTGCTGGTGGTGGTAGTGGTTGTGGTTGTGGTTGTGGTTGTGGTTGTGGTGGCGGTGGTGGTGGTGGTGGTGGTGGTGGTGGTGGTGGTGGTGGTGGTGGTGGTGGTGGTGCTGGTGGTGGTGGTGGTGGTGGTGGTGGAAGTGCTGATGCTGGTGCTGGTGGTGCTGGTGCTGCTGCTGGTGGTGGCAGTAGGAACAGCCCGACGAGGTGTAGAAGAGTTGTTGTTGTGGTTGTTGTTACAGCTGCTACGAGGTGGGCGCCGTTGTGCACATAGGAATGGATGGTTACGGCTTTGGACTTTTGCGGTTGCCGTGGCGTTACATGGTGTACGGCTTGAAGTGCGTGCGGAATCGCGGCTGCCGACTATGCTCTCGAGTCTGCATCAGATGGTCGCTCAACTGACATGTTCTTGGGCCCTCATTCCATCAGTGTCTGACTGCTCCCAGCGGGAACCGAAACTCTAAACCATAAACCCCTACAGCCAAACCGGCAGACCCTAAACCCCGAAACCCCCCCTAAACTCCGAACCCCTAAACCCCAAACCCTCACGAGCAACTCGGTTTCCGGCTTTTGGTCTCTTGCGCCAAACTATCCTCGAATTCTGAGATCCACCAAACGCCAAACCCAGACCTCTTCTCCCTGACCCCTCAAATCCACCAAACTAGGGAAGCCCTTCAGGGAACCCCTATGAGGCCCTTCGAAAGGATCATGGGACTTAGTAACTAGGGGTATACGTAAGGAAACCATACTTCTGTTGATGTAAAGCCCCAAGTAAGGTACTGATATCCTCACTGACTACCCTAAACCCTAAGCCCCTAAACAACCCTGGAAAAGAAACCCGAAACCCGAGCACGAAACGTTGAACCATACTTTCCTGGTAAGTCCCATGTTCCTCCAAGTAGACCTTGAACCCTTGTAGATCCCATTATAGGAACCCTTATAGATCCCTTTTAAAGGAACCCTAAGTCCCATGGTCCTCCAAGCACCCTTTGCCGAGGCACCCATCTCCGTGGTGCGGAGATCACTACCTTAGGTGGTAAATACTCGTACTACTAAGCACCGGAACGAAAAAAACAGTCATAGGAGGAATCGAAATCAGATTAGTAAACTTGTTGTCGTATCACTACCTTGCTCTGCCCACGGATAGCAGTCGCACGTTGTTCCCATCAGAGTTCCATTTTGAGGGTGCACCAGAGGTACAGTGATAACAGTTTGTTTAAGACGGTCTCCATACCGATCTGCATGAATCCCACCACAGAACATCTATGTGACGACGATGCGGTCTAACACGGGCCGAAACCGGAGGACATTGCCAGAGCAAGAGCAGGATCTACATTTCTACCTGACTTGGTCAGTTACTCTCTGAGACTACAGCTTACCGTTTGTGATTCTGATTCTCGGTATGTTTACATACCTATATATATATATGTGTATATATATATATATTCACATAGGTATGTACATGTGTATATGTATAAATGTATGTATGTGTATATGTATGCAGCTTCAAACTCGGGCCTGCAATGCGATGGTTCCTGTTTGCATGAATATGTATGCATGTGTGTATATGTGTAAACACACCATATATATATATATATATATATATATATATATATATTTAGATGTAGAAAATGGCCTACATCTCCATGTCTATGTATGCATTATATCCGTACGTGTGTATGTGTGTATGCAGGTATGCATGTTTACATGTATGTGTGTACACATAAAACACATGGTGACATTGAAGGATGCCTAACCTGCCAGTAGGACCGGGAGTTGGCTTACTAAGTGACATCTCATAAGCTTCAACTCTCCGCCCCAAACCGTACAGCCAAAGGTCAAAGCAGGTTCAGGAATCGGTGCCGGAGGCATGGTTCCTAAAGCCAAGATGCCAATCGTCATTGTAGCAAAGCCAGAGATCACATAGAGAACCGCCACGAGAAGCACGAAAGATAGGCATAGTGTGCGGAAGCCGGCAACGAGGCCTTCCACAGTGCTTTAGACTGTACTGAACTTGGACGTTGGAGCTCGGGGTGCAGGCTCCTAGGGCACTTGGTTCCACTGGGGAGTGTTACAAACTTGCTGGGGGTCACGGGATTATAAGTGTTTCGGGTTAAGGTTTCGCAGCAGGTGTCCAATGGCTTGCGATCTAACCGCGGCTCATTGCACTTCTATGTTGATCTCTCTTTTCTCTAGATCTCTTTGTGGAGCACAAGACACTGCTCCGACAAATGTCTCCTCCTGTCGCTGGTTCTGTAGGCATCGAGAGCTGAGACATTGGGATCTTGCACCAATGGCCCGAAACCCTAAAACATCTTTTGCTAACCTCATACCAAATCATCCGGTGGTCCTGATGGCACACCCCTAAACCCCAAACCCCTAAACCCTAAACCACTGTTTTTGCTCCGGTCGCCACTGAAACACAAACGCACAGACAATCCCTGAACTCTACACCCCGTCGACCCTACAAGCCCCAGGTAATGTAGGAACACCACTCTGGAGGATGTTGCAAGCTCAACTTCTTTAGGGTCTTTTTAGGTACCAAAAACCATAAATAGGAACTACTTGGACTTTTAGGGATTACGGAATTCTTAGAAAGACGGCGGAATGAGGGACCTGATTTGGAGCGCCATCCGTGGAGGCCCTCTAGCTGCAGGCCCACATTCTCCAAAGGGCCCGAAGTAGCCAAGGTTCTGAGGGCGACCGCGATTGTGCTTCGGTGGCGGGAGAACATACACCATCGACTTCGCGTTTGGGCCAGAGGACCGAACGCCGGCCTGGAACGCATCCGGCACGACGTCCTGCTTTCCGATCACCTTCTGATACAGCAGCAAGACATCCTCCATCATGGACATGGCATCCGTCTCCACCGCCTTGATGTACGCTGGGGCCTGACTTGATGCTCCTTCAGCGCTGCCTGCGGCGGTGGATGGCACCGACGCCTTTGCCGCAGCCTCGCCCTCCACAGCAGCAGCTGAGGCTGCCTCTGCAGTTGCAGCCTCTCTTGTGGTGGTGCCACGGTTTTTTTGGGGTTCCTTATATGAATCCTACTATTTTGGGGTTATAGGCCCAGGGTTTCTTAATCAGGCCCCTACATTACCTGAAGCTCTAAACCCTAAAAAAAAACCTTCAAACTGCAACCCTTAAACCCTGAGTTCCAAACTCCGGAACCCGACATCCTCAAAGACCGAAAGACCCTTAAAAGTAAGGGCCTTATACCCTTATACTATGAGTTCCTATATGGTATATGAACCTTAAACCCTCATTTTTCGTCCTTAGTATGTCGGCATCCTCGAGGGCAACGGGGGGCTAGGAACACAGCTTTAGCCCGTACTCCGCAACAGTGAATCTTAGGGTTTAGGGTTTAAAGTTTAGGGAATCTTATGGCACTCTTGTTAGGTTCAGGGCCGCGGGGCAAGGGTTTAGGTAACCTCACAATAATTTTACCTCATAGTGGTGCTGCCTGGATACTAGATGCCATAACGTGGCATAGCGTATTTCGTAAGCCTTGATTCTCTGGTGCATAGCGTTCCTGGATACTGCCTATAGTCTCCATTGTAGTTCCTTTTTTGGGTTGACCGAAAACTATATTATAGGATCCTAACCATAAAATTGGTCAACCAAAAGAAGGAACTACAATGGAGACTATAGGTGTTCCCCTGAGCGAATGGCCGCTACGAGTGCACACTGATACGCCTTGTACAAAGGTGCATATTACGGTATCAGTGCCTGCCTTTGACCATCAGTCGCAGCTCCTGCGAGATTTGATACCAGAGTGTGACAGGCTTATCCATTGTGTTTAGTGCTAGGGCTTTCTGGTTCGAGGCAGTGGGGTCTAGAATTTAATTTGGGATTCTTGTAGTGGCTTCACCACATATGTACCAGACGTCTGGATTCGGCTTTGCACCCTTCTCATTCTCATCCTAATCGTCCTTGTCGGTCCATACCATCACACTGTGCATCAGCTCGAGCGGAGTCCCTGTTTTTATAGTCCCCGACTTCCGAAATGATCAAAAGATTTCCTTTCCTGGGTGCTGGCAATAACTCAGCGAGCCCAGAATTTCTTCATGAAGCAATATTCTCCAACATCGAATGATGCTTATTAGTAGAGCTTACACAGCTCTCTTCAGCAAGGAGTCTAGAGTCTCTAAATAACATGCATAACAAGGATCCCTGGGAGGGGTGTGGAAGCTGAGAGAGGTGATATCAAAATGGTGTAAAGACACCCCGAAGTCCCGAAACCATACACTCCTCAATCCCTCTACCCTGAATTCCTACACTCGAACAACCCTTGAAACTCACCCAGAGCCCTACACTCAGGTACTCAGATCCCCCTGAAGTTAAACCCTATGAAACCCTACGGGAACCCTATTGTGAACTAAAACACGTCGTAGAACTCCCTAATCTAAAGCCCAAACCCGAAGCCCCGAAACCATAAAGCCCTGGCAATCGTAGCGTCGTCCACAGCAGCCAAAGATGCGTAAGGAGCCGAAATCACGCACGACCGGATAGGCCTTGGCGGCTTTGATATCGGCCGGGCCCACGTGCACACTGGTCTCTCCACTGTAGATTCCCATGTACGTTACCATTATGGAATTAGGTCCCCAAAACCATAATAGGGATGGTCTATTGGGACCTAATTCCATAATTGTATCTGGGATCATTCGGTGCCGCCTTTCTCGGGGCATCCACACCCTCAATTGTTAGGAGACCCTTCATGCCCCATCTGCTGAAGGTTCTGCGCAGCAGGGTCTCCGCAAAAGGGATGTACGAGGTGGAGAATGTGTAGGCAGCTGCGAAGAAGAACCAAGAACGTCTTCGCCTGGGTCTCCATGTTCCCCAACATCAACCTGCCCATGTTCTCAAACTCAACTATGGTCGCTCCGGCGTCCGCTGCACGGTCCTCATCTCAGTCGGGCCTCCCCGGAATCGAGGAGGTTTCTCAAGCGCACCAGGCCATGCTTTCAGGTATGGTGGGGTGTATTTACTGGTGCCAGCGGTAGTTTATGGTGCCTTCTGGTGCAACCTGGTAAGCCAACATTGGTTCTACCGTGGAATAGAGCACAACATGGCGAAAGTGGGACAAAGTGTATGGAGTATAAGGGTCCAACGGCCCCTAAGTTTCGACAGCACCTCGAGTCTGTGCCAATGCGCAATCCGGCCAGCTTAAAAGGCATGTTCGCGAAGTCTCGCATGCATGGCAGCCGCATAAAGCATAAAGCCAAAAACTCTGGAGGAGGTCTGAAAGGAACCCAGGAAGAAACCCTTAAAAGGGAACCCCTTTTCGGGGAGCCAACCTCTACAGAAACCCTTACGGGAACCCTTTCCCGAACCCAACTTCTAAACGCTCTCCTTTAAGGAAACCCTGAAGGCAAACCCAGGTGGCCCTTGAAAAAAGTATTTTGACTAGGCTCTCTTGCAGAGAGAAACCCTCTGCAAGGCCCTTAAGGGGACCCTCCCTTAAAAGAATCCGTGCAGGAACCCTCAAAGGCTCTCCTAGCCCCATACCCTATAGAGGAACCCTGAAAGACTCTCCTTCAAAACCTGTACTGCAAGCATAGATAAACCCCTAAAAGGATTCAGGGTTTAGGGTAAACGAACCTCTTAGAGGAACCGCTAAAGGCTCTCCTTCATGCAGCGGAGGCGGAAGACTTTCACAACCCGGACCAGCCGAATGAGTCGACAGAAACGCAGCAAGGACATACCTTAGCTTGGAATATTAGTTTAGGGTTTAGGCGTTTAGGGTTTAGGGCTTTCAGGGTTTATGGGGTTGCTTGAAAACGGGGTCTAAAAGGGTTCCAGAAGGGTTTCGGGGTTTGAGCGTAGAAGGCTCAGGGCTAATCGAATCTCAGGTTAAGGCTTTGAGGGATGTTTAGGGTTGAGGTTTTTACGGTGATTTATCAGGTTTAGCGGCCTATGTTTGAAGAGTTTTTTGGGTTGTTAGATTAAGGGGTGTCCATACGGGTGTCTCCAAGAGCTGCGACTTGATTCGGTTTAGGGTTTAGGGTTTAAGGTCTTCAGAGTTCGCTTACCAGGGGGAACCCTTCAATCGACAAGCTGAGCAATCCAAGCGAATTTAAAAACCTCAAGGCCGAAATTGTGAGGGTTTAGGGTTTACTTAGCGTCCAGGCCATCCCCTAAAATCCAATTGCCTGAGCAGTAGTGTCGCTAGAGGTGCTGTGGGGAGTCCTGAGTATAGTTGCTCGAAGCTTCACTTCGACGTGAGTAGGGAGATCGTGACGGTTCTTCCGTGACGATTCTTCTTCGCTGTGACTCGTGAATGGACAGGGCTGAAACTCTGGTTTTAGATTCGGCTTCAGCGTAAGGAGTAGTGAGTAGTGCATGTGAATGATTTTCACGACCTGGCGCTTTAGGCTTAACTACCGTTCACTCACTTACCTAGTTGCTGAGTTCATAAGCCCCCAAAAGTGTACACTTTCTGTTCTATAGTAGGTAATGTTAACCCAAAAGTGTGAAGGGTATCCACTCAGCTACTAAGCTTTAAAGGCCAGCCACACGGGATGCGGAGCATCCAAGCAGTTCTGGGCTCGGGGGATTGGGGCGAGTTTCGGGGCTGACATCTTTGACGATCTAAGCGAAGAGTGACAGGAATGGAACTACACAGCCCTAAACACTAAACATCCTAAACCCAAAATCCCGCCTAAACCCCTAAACCCTAAAACTCCGAAACCCGAAATCCCTTAAACCCTAAACCCTCCCTGATATTCCGGGCAATCCTAGCCCTGGGTTCGCGTACAATGCATCAGGTTCTTCCTGCACTCCGGTCTAGGGTTAGGGGTTCCTAATTATTACAAGGGTTCCTCTCACGGTGTTGCGAAGGTTCTCTCCGGTTTAAGGCTTTGAGAGCATCCGAGATTACTAAAAGGATCACGGGACTTAGTAACTCGGGTTACATGTGTATATATATATATATACATTTGGCCAATATTAGGTGAATCTACATCAACATTCATAACTTATAACCCTAAATTGAAATGCTCATAACCTTACATACAAGTCCTATGACCCTTGAAGTAGCCAAGTTGCCTAGCATGTCGGACTGTTCTCCCATCACCTTCTGGACAAAGACGTCCGCCAAACCCGACAGGGACAGGAACAGATCAAACCTTCGCAAATCGGAGGCTTCGGTACGGCTGATGATATAAATCCTGCATTACCTTCAGGTCCCTAAACCATGAGAATTATGGTATATTCTTTATTTCTTTATTATGGGATAATGCAGGATTTATATCATCAACCGTAGTACCCTACAAGCCAAGTCAGACCGATCTCGGTTCGCGCTTTCTGTGCATTACACCCCAAAGGCTCCATGTACTTGGAGGATCATGGGACTTGGTAAGGTTATAAGTACCCTTAATTGGGGTTACAAGTAGCTATAGGTATAGCTACCCAGTCCCATGATCCTTTAAGTACTATTGTAGTAGATACTTAAGCCTTAAAGGGGTCCCTATATAGGCACTTTAAGGCCTAAGTATCTACTATATGGGCACATGGAGCCTTAGGGACATGACTCATGCCTGGTGCAGCGACCTGTACCTAGACCCTCTAAAGTAGGTAACTATACCCAAGAGTAGCTTAGGAATAAAAAGGGTGCCCTTTTTGGTTTAACGGGGCTTTTAAGTGAACCTGAACCCTTAAAATGGGAATAAGGGCCTACTCTAGGTCCTAGGTAAAATTATGGCCCAAAACCTATAAAAGGCTATTACTCTACATACTTTTGGGGTCCAGGTCATTATGGCCTAAACTATGGTTCGGGGGTTGGGCTAGAGGTTTCAAGACGAAGAACGACAGACCATCCGCATGCATCTCTGCAAAAACAGACTGGCTTTCTCTTCGACCAAGGGACCGAAAGAGGCAGCTGCATGTGCGCAGTGTGTACTAGGTAGGTAGGTAGGCAGGTAGGTAAGCTAGGCAGGAGGTAGGGAAGTAGGTAGGCAGGCATGTAATCATACATACACGCATGTATACACATGTACATACACTTGCGTACATCTTGTCTGTCTGTCTGACTGTCTGTCTGTTCGGTCTGTCAATGTGCGTGCAAGCCCGTGTCATGCACATGGGTGCGATTCTACTTTGCCGATATGTGTTTGTATGTGCGTGCGTGCATGCGGGTTGAGGGAGCCAAGTTGGGTTCTCCTATTCATGAGTTCTGCATATAGCTGCTTACCAAATCGGTCCACAAGGTAGTGCACACACCTGCTTTGTAAACCCCATGGGGCCACGGTACTATCTCTACTTTTGGCCGACCGATACCTAACAGCCGAATGCACAACTGCAAAATCAATGTTGCTGTTTTCCTAAACCCCAAATCCTTAGCATCAGCTTCAAGCCTACAACACCCATCAGTCGCCAACCTTGCATTAGGGTTTAGGGGTTTCGGGCTTATAGGGGTTTAGGGGTTAGGCTTTAGGGTTTCGGGGCTTAGGGGTTTACGCCCTCAGTGGTGCTTCAAGTCCATACGTGGTCGGCTAACAGAAAGATGCTGAGCACTGAACGGTTTAGGCTTACTCCTGAACCTCGAAACCACACCTGTAGAAGCCTTGGTACCTTAAAGGAACCAGAATCCATCAACCGTAAGCTCCTGAACCCTAGACCCTAAATCCCTACTTAAAGGATCATGGGACTTAGTAACTAGGGTTATAATTAGGGTAACTATACTTCTGACTACTTATAAGCTCAATTTAGGTACTTATAACCTTACTTACTAAGTCCCATGATCCTCCAAGTAAATACTAAACCCCGAAGAGAACCCACTTGCCCTATAAGGCTCCATGTACCCATATAGTATATACTTAGGCGTTAGAGTACCTATATAGGGAACCCTTCAAGGCCTAAGTACCTACTATAAAATGTACATGGAGCCTTTGGGTTAGGAAACCCGAAGACTGCATGCGGGAAGCCAGTTGAAGAGGCGGTCCGAGCCACAAAAGAACCTTCGGATCCAAACGCATCTGATAGTGTTTGGGGCTTAGCTTAGAGTTTAGGGTTAGTGTTTAGGGTATAGAGTTTAGGGTTAGTGTTTAGGGTTTAGGGTGATAGCCTTAACAGCCTTAACTACGAACTGGAATCGAGTTTTGCTGAAATTCAGGATGCGTCCACATCTTCGTAACCCTAACATGAAGCCCTTTGAGGGATCGGAGGTTTGGGAATGTACAGTATAGCTTGGCACATTGAGAAACCCTCCATCCAAACCGAATCCAAACCTCAATCCTGTAACATCGTAACACCCTAAACCCTAAACCCTAAACCCTAAACACCCTGCAAGTCGTTCTTGTCATTCCTTGCAAAACCTGGTGATCTCGTGAACCCAGAAGGAGGTTTGGATCCCCACAAAAAGGACAGCTTGAAGTGTCATGCGTATTTACAGGCCGGAATAATGGCAGTTATCTTCTGGACCTGCGCAATAACTCCTCTAAATAGCTCACACGTCACACATAGCAAGCTTCTCCAAACCTCAACATATCCCGAAACTATCAGCAACGGTAATTACTCAACTCCAACCATAAAGCAAACACCTCAAGCACGACGTTCCGAAGTCCCGAGACCAACAGAAGGTCGCCAAGCAGCCGCCGGCAGCCTAGAACAAACATCCGCAGCACACATTCCTGAGCCGGGAAATGAAGGCCTAGGGGCCACCTCTGCTCAATTCCTGTTGGAGTTGGGTATACCTGTAGCCGAAAAGCCTACCTTTTGAGGGTTCCTTATTATGGCCTATTTATCTAACTCGTTAATAAGTGGACTACAAGTAGGGCTTACTTGGAGGGTCATGGGTAGTTATAAGTGCAGTTAGAAGTCCCCTGAGATGGGCTATAGACATAGTTGTCCTACACATAACTCCACTCATAGCTACCCATGAACCTCTAAGTAGGGATTAGGGATTCTGTCGCCTGAAAGCCGAAGCCTGAAATTTACATGTCACGCCCTGCCATGCCAAGGGTTCCGCTTCACCTATAGTCTCCATTGCAGTTCCTTTTTCTGGTTAACCAAAATCTCCATTATAGGATCCTAACTATTAAACTGGTTAACCAGAAACAGGAACTGCAATGGAGACTCTAGGTACATTATTATAGTACCCTTATAGATCCCCTTATACTAGCCCTTATAGACCCTTTAAAGGAACCCTAAAAAAAGGCCCAGGGTACTACAATGGAGACTAGGTAGGGCCTGGGCCTAGGGTCGGCATACAAGCTTCCATGCCTGGAATACTTTGCGGTTCGTTGGGTAGTTATAAGAGTTCCTTTAAGGGTCCCTTTAAAAGGATCTTTTGGGATTTGTTCTGCGGGAGACACATCTTTCCTCAGGAATTAGTTCTGGCTGTAGGGATCACACTTCAAGGCCTGGTAGAGGTGCTCTGCCGAGGGATAGGTGTGGCCATCATAGAGCACGTCGCCGACGTAGAAGTTTGAGAGGAACCGATACTCGCGAATGAACTGCTTTATGGCCATCTCCGAGGATTCCGAATCAGTGGCATCCGACTTGCTGCCAGCATCAGAGCCTTCCTCGGAAGAATCCGATGAGTCGGAGCTTGAGCTCTTGCGGATGCTGTCATCCAGAACGCCACTGATACCGAAGATGTCAGCAGCCATCACACCTAGCCTTTCCCTTGAAATGATGGACTCCGAGGAAATAGGATTCTATAAGGGTATGGGGTTTAGGGCCTACTTGGAGGTTCATGAACAGTTATCAGTGGAGTGATAAGTAGGGCAACTATAGTGAAAGCCTATATTCGGGGACTCGCAACTCCACTTATGACCCTAAACCCTGTAGATCCTTTGCAGTTGAGGGTTTGGGGTTGAGGGTATAAGGTCTGGGATTTATAGAGGTTTAGATGTTTGGGGTTTAAACTTTTTGATTAGGATTTAAGCGTTTTGGGTGTCGGGCTTAGGTGCAACCAACCACTCAAACCTCGCAAACCCTTGTGACAGGAACGAATGTCAAGAGCTTGAGGTATGTCTTGACCTACCATGGCCTAACTGTTTGTAGCATCTGATCGGTAACCCTAATGTAAACTTCATGGGAGAAGAGTTTCCGTAAACCCTCAACCCTAAACCTGAAACCGTTAAACTCTAAACCTTAAGCCCCAAACCATCACGGGTTTGAAGGTGATTTTCGGGCCCCGGTTACGCGCAGCCAGAGGCTCCAGAATGAGCACGACCACAAACACGAGCTCCAGTGTGGGCCATCCTGAAACAGCATGGCTGCTACGAAATTACAGTAGAAGCCCAAAAGTTGGAAACCCCATGGCCTCAATCCTTGAGAGGCGTGTATAGGGAATTCCAGCTCTATTTGGCCTTGATCCACTTCCCGACTTTATGGGGTTTACCATACACTGTTCTGACAGAAGGTCTATAAGCTTTTCGACAGGGTCTACGGTAGGGTTAACAAATTGGGATCGGGGTGTGGGGTGTAGGCTTTATTGATGATATGATTTTGTCCAGTGGCTTGGGTTTAGGGTGTAGGGTTTTCTTTCTTTAAGTCTTTGTTACGAACTATACATTTTAAGCTTGACGGTATGGGGATTGTAGTCCCCCGAACAGGCTGCTACACTCTACTACCAAGTTTCTCTAGCATACGTTTCCCCAGCAGAATCCCAGAAGTGACCACACCTTAAACCATGGTACTCCGTGTTACCGGTAATGCCGGGTTTACCCGGGTTAATAGACATGAGAGCACTTTGCGTAAAGTGTATGTCAACAGTAAACCCCAAAACCCAAACCTAAGGCTCCATGGAGTCTCCAAGGCTGCCCATTGACCATAGGATCCTTAATCATTGTCTATGCTGTTTGAAGGGGCTCCTTATCCTAGTTGCCGAGTTCATACGCCCCTAAAGTGTACACTTTCTGTTTTATAGTAGGTAATTACCCCAGAAAGTGTAAAGTGTATCCACTCAGCTACTAAGTTACTATAACTATAGTATACTGGGCCGCCCCAATTGTTAAGGCCCTATATTAGCCGTACATGCCATGGGCCCTCAGCTGACCTTCCCAGTCTTCAAACTCCGGGTGCGTCTGGAAGCCGATCATGATACCATTGGCGATGATGAGGAAGGCCACCTGCAAGGACAGAGAGCTGCTTTTGCAACTTGAGTTCAAGAGCAAGGCTGAAAAGGGCTTAGCCCTAGGCATCTAAGGACTCATTTATTAAGGCTTTTGGGCCCAAATACCATACTATATAAGGCTTTTGGACTATTTTGATGCCCAGGGTAGGGGGCTTCAAGTGGAGGGCTGATGCAATAGCAAATGTCATTTACAGCTAGAGGCCTTGGGCCTTTTGGGACGGTGACTCTGATAGGGTTTAGGGTGTAGGGTTTAGGGTGTAGAGCTTGGTGAAATATTCGGATACGTGTGCTGGGTTTAGGGGTTTAGGCACTTGTTTTGGGACACGGCTGCTTGGCATGTTTTTGGATTGAGGGTTGGCCCTTGGGGCGCGGTTCGTGTAGTAAGTGTACTTCCACACGCACCCACCCTGCGCGGTCAATCTGCACAAACCTTGCGAATAAGCAAGACCCCAAGACGAATAAGACAGTCTAATTGCCCCTGCTCCATTGTGAAACACGCAACGCCGAAGCTTCAAATCCTGTAGCCATATGAGAAGTTCGATGACGAGTTCCGATACACCCGGAATGCTGACAAATCCGTGAACAATCAAAGCCTTAACAACAATCGCCTAATTCATATCAAAGCCCTTCAAGCCCAAACAAACCTGGAACCCCAAACCCTTAAACCCTCGAAGCCCTAAATCCTGAACTTGGCCGTGAAGCGAAAAAATGCCTAACACCCTAAACTTTAAACCTTGCATCGTATCTTGAACCCTCTGACGGAACCCGTGCAAGTCCTCGTGCGAACCCTGCAAAGAACCGCTATACCAAGCTCGAGAGCCCTCCAACCCTGGGCTTGGAACCTGAAGCCCTTGAGCCCCAAACCTCCAACCTCTAGGGCCTGAACCCGTACCATGACCCCCCAAACTGCCCTGTGAGTAGAGCCCGTATGGGTCCTTACTTGTGGGTATTTAGGGTATATTAGAAGGTGGTTGAGGGGGTGTCTAGGTAAACCTGAAACTCTAAACCTGAAACCCGTGTTGCCAAGCCACATATGCGGCTTGGAACCTTCATTAGTCACCTATGCCTATAGTACAGTTGCAGCACCTCATAGAAACCTCGTAATTGCGATTGCATCAGCCAATGGAAACCGCAAACACAAATCAACTAAAAAAACAACACCCCGCATTTGGGTGTGGGAACAATTCGTAACACTATCCCCAAGCATGTTGGTATACTATACCTATACCCCAAACATTTTGAAATCCCTGCTGAACTCATTAACCACCCTACACCCCCCTCCAAATAACAGCTTAAATACCCTGCGGAACCCTTATGGTGACCCATAACCCTTACCTGAACCCCCAAAAGTAGGTAAAGTAATTGCCCAACACCTAAAAAAGGCCATTATTCTACCTACTTTTGGGGCCCAGGTACTCACTTCAAGGACCCCTTGACGGAATCCTAAACCCTCCCGACTCTTGCGGCCCAAGTACGAGTGGCTCGAGAGCAACCAGAACGCCGGTCTTCCTCGTTTGGGGTTTAGGGATGCTGCTCTACTTGGAGGATCATGGGACGTCGTAAGTACGGTTCTAAGTACCTTACGTGGGGTTAGAAGTAGTTATAGGTATAGTTACCCTAATTATAACCCTAGCTACTAAGTCCCATGATCCTTTATCTAGAGGTTCTGCTCTATGGGGCCTTTCCCTAAGGCTCCAGGCGGCACAAGGTCTTAAGGGTTCCTTTATGGGTTACTTTCAGGGTTCCTTTAGGGTGCTATAACGGCTCGATAGAGTTTTAGCCTTTGAAAGCTCTATATACTTGTGTAGTATATGCAGGCCTGAAAAGACCTGTATATGCTGTCTGTGGAGCCTTGGGGCTCGTAGTCAGAATTGGGTTCATGCAAAAGCTTTCTTTAAAAGGGTCCTTCGGTTGATGATAAATCCTGCACGACCCATTATAAGGAATAAACCATAAATCCATAGTTTAGGGTCCTTAAGGTAATGCAGGATTTATATCATCAACAGCTTGAGGTAGGTAGCTTCCTTCATCAGCAGCTGGCTGAACCTGCCTCCACCCAAACCCCAAACCCTAAATCCCTAAACTCTAAACCCTCAACCCAAATCCTCTCTTCTTCAACAACCGGGCCCCCAAAAGTTCAAACTTTCTAAGATAGAGCTGAACTGGCAGTAGTGGATGCAAGTGGACATGTAGGGGTATGCTCGTGATCAACAGCATGGTGGTGCGCTTTGCATGTTTGACCCTCTGAAAGGGTACGATACCGCAGCCTTTCACAAGCACGTCCAGTGAAGCTGAAAAACTGTTTTTTCAGACTTGCGTTCTGCTTGCCGCAGCCTTCTCAAACACGTCCAGTGAAACTGAATCACTGCTCGTTATGCGTCCATATTTGTGCTCGCTTCTAGAGCTCAGTGGCTTTGATACCTGGACAGGTTTGTTCATTCGGATTCGGGAGTCCCGCTTTGTACCTGACTGTCTTGGCGCTAGTCTAGTTCAAGAGAGACCCGGGGCTGCGGCATCTTGGTAAGTCCTGCGAGCCGGGTGCGCTAAACATTGGACTTGCGCTGGACACTTTCGGCATTTTGCATCTTTTGAGGGTCCCTGGGGCTGCGACAACCGAGTAAGTCCTACGATCCAGGGGACACCCGGAAGTGTTTTTTTTTTTTTTGTTTTTTTGTTTTCGTCTGCGGTCCGGTGTGGTTCCCGTCGCTGCTTCTTTTTGTGCCGCTTCGCTGCCCCTAAGGTCAGGGGGTGGGTGCGTGTGCCCCGTTCGGGGGGCCACGTCCGCCTCCTGCCGCTGCTGCTTCTGCTGCCTGGTTTCTTGCTTCCGTTTTGGTTCTTTCTTGTTGCTTCTGTGGTGTCTTCTCTGTCGTCGTTGTTTGTCTCTGGTTGGTGCTTGGTTTGTGCTCGCTGTTGCTGGTGTTCCGTTGGGTCGCTGCTTCTTTTTCGGCCGCTTTTGCTACCCCTAAGGTCAGGAGGTGGGTGGGTGCGTGTGCCCCGTCCGGGGGGCCACGTCCGCCACCTGCCGCTGCTGCTGCTGCTGCTGCTGCTGCTGCTGCTGCTGCTGCTGCTGCTGCTGCTGCTGCTGCTGCTTGCCTTTGCGCTCTTCGTTGCTTCTGTTTTTGTCCTCTCTTGTCGCTTCTGTTGTGTCCTTTCTGTTGCCTTTTGGTGTTGCGTCTGTTGTCGGTGGTGGTTTTGGTCGCGGTTTCTTTTCCTGCCGCTGTTGCTGCTCCTAAGGTCAGAGGTGGGTGCGTGTGCCCCGTTCGGGGGGCCACGTCCGCCCCTGCCGCTGCTGCTGCTGCTGTTGCTGCCCGGTTTTCTTGCTTCTGTCTGGTCCTTTCTTTTCGCTTCCTTTGTGTGTTCTCTGTCCTCGTTGTTTTTTCTGGTCGGTGTTTGTGTGTGTGCTCGTTGTGTCGGTGTTGGGTTGGGTCGCTGCTTTTTCTCCTGCCGCTGTTGCTGCCCCTAAGGTCAGGGGTGGGTGCGTGTGCCCCGGTTGGGGGGCCACGTCCGCCACCTGCCGCTGCTGCCGCTGCTGCTGCTGCTGCTGCTGCTGCTGCTTGCTTTTGCGCTCTTCGGTGCTTCTGCTTTTGTCTTCTCTTGTCGCTTCTGTTGTGTCCCTTTTGTTGCCTCGTTTGGTGTTGTCTCTGTTGTCGGTGGTGGTCTTCTGTTGTGTCCTTTCTGTTGCCTCGTTTGGTGTTGTCTCCGTTGTCGGTGGTGGTTCTGGTCGCTCTTGCTTTTCCTGCCGTTGTTGCTGCTCCTAAGGTCGGGGGATGGGTGCGTGTGCCCCGTTCGGGGGGCCACGTCCGCCTCCTGCCGCTGATGCTGCTGCTGCTGTTGCTGGTCCTTTCTTGTCGCGTCTGTTGTGTCCTCTCTGTCGTCGTTGTTTGTCTCTGGTCGGTTTTTGTTTTGTGCTCGCTGTTGCTGGTGTTGGGTTGGGTCGCTGCTTCTTTTTTGGCCGCTTTTGCTACCCCTAAGGTCAGGAGGTGGGTGTGTGTGCCCCGTTCGGGGGGCCACGTCCGCCACCTGCCGCTGCTGCTGCCTGCTGCTGGTGCTGCTGCTGTTTTCTGGCTTCTGCTGCTTCTGCTGCTGCCTGGCTTCTTGCTCTGTTTTGGTCCTTTCTTGTCGCGTCTGTTGTGTCCTCTCTGTCTTTGTTGTTTGTCTTTGGTCTGTGCTTGCTGGTGTCTTCTTCGTTTTGTTCGCTGTTGTCGGTGGTGGTTTTGGTCGCTGTTTCTTTGCCTGCTGCTCTTGCTACTCCTAAGGTCAGGGCGTGGGTGCGTGTGCCCCGTCCGGGGGGCCACGTCCGACGCCTGCCGCTGCTGCTGCCTGCCTTCTTGCTCCTGTTTTGGTCCCTTCTTTTCGTCTTTTGTGTCTTCTGCGTTGTTTTGTCTTTTGTCCGTCCTTTTTGGTTGTCTCTGTGTTTTTTGTTTTTCCTTCTCCGGGAAAGGAGCCCCTGGTGAGGCTTTTGAGCTAGGCACTGCTTGATGCAGTCAGACCGCCACTGTTTTTTGTTTTACTTTTACCAGGGGTCTGGCAGAATGTTCGGACAAGTCTCCGATTTGAAGCGCGTGTGAGACCCTTCCTTAGGTTGTTATTGTGCACTTTTGTTTTTCCTCCGGTGCATAGCATTCTTCCAAGCATAGGCATCAGTTAGCAGTGTTGCTTCTTGCGGCTCAAACGAAGTTCGCCAAGCATGCGCTCACAATGCCGAATGCTGCAGCCAGGACAGCCGGTTGCATCCAAGAGGGTGTGAATTTGGAAGCAATGATGTCGATGTCACGTTGCTAGAGTGTCCAGCTCTTTTCATTTCATCGCTCTGTTGTGTGCACTAGACGGCAATGCAAGAGGGAATCCTGTGGCAAACATGTTGATGTTTTGCCCTGGGAAGCTGGCTGGGCCCCCTCGTGTTGAAGGCCTGGAATGTGATCCACTTTTCAAGCATTTGCCGTGCCTAGTCTTTCTGTTGCTTGTTGTTGGTTTAATCTGTAAGGCTTCGCTTTCCTCAAGCTTGTGTGTCATCTCTGCAGCTTGGCACGAGTCTAGTCTGATCTCATCGCACCCAAGTCAAGCGGCATGTTGGGCTCTCCGAATACCCGGGTTCAAAGAGCCGTTGAGGAGTTTGTTCTTCAGCTGGAGAGGGAGCAGGATGGACCATGTGGTGGATCCGAGGAAGTGCAGATGACCCCAACGTCTCCAGTAAGCTCGGAGTGCCCAAGCCCTCGCCATGTACCATTGAGCCTACGAGGTGATCTTCGCGGTGGGATCTGCTCACGAAGTCGTAGTCGCACACCAGTGCAACGCTCCGGGAGCTCTGATGCCAAGCCTGCCGTCTCAATGGTGCAGGATCGCCGTGACATCAGTGAGCAACTTGAAGCGGAGTCTGATGTAGGCATGAGCATGCAGAAGGGCGCAATGATCTCAGTTCTCCGAGACCTTGCGCGTGAAATCAAACTTGACATCATGAAGGCAATTAGTGAGAGTTTTAAGGATGCTTCCTTGCCGGAGCAGCTGCCCAGTGTTGAGGCCCATACAGAGGGTCAGCTCAAACATTTGAGAGAAGCTTCCAATGCAGTGCATTTGCAGAGTGGCCTTACACATGAGGCAAACCCGCCGCCTAAGGTGTTTCCTTGCTTCTTGAACACTACTCACTGTTCCTCGTCTGTACCGCCTGAGAACCGTTTCTCTGGCTTTTGCAAGCCTGAAGGAGATCCGTCTGACTTGCATGTGCTCAAATCTGCCGAGCAGATTCTTGAGGCCATGGATGCTTGTGCTGCAAAGTTAGGGGAGTTGACCTGTTGTGCTAAGGCGAACGTGACCCTAACGTTCAGCCCTACGCCACTGTTTTCAACTGCTCAGGCGTTGAATGCGAGAGTGGCGGCTATGGGCATCCAGTTGTGTGATAAGACTACCGAAAGTGGTTGTCGCTTTCCCAGAGGCTTAATGGGTGGCCAGCGTGGGCAACCAAGTGTTGCAATCTTTTGGACTAGCACTCACAAAATCACTGTTCAGGTTCACGCCAAAAAGGCAAACGTTGTCCTGAAAGGCCGACGATCTGCATT